GGGAGCCTGGGTGGCTCAGTTGGTTAAGCAACTGCCTTCGGCTCAGGTCATGATCCTGGAGTCCCGGGATCGAGTCCCGCATCGGGCTCCCTGCTCAGCAGGGAGTCTGCTCCTCCCTCTGACTCCCCCCTCTCGCTCTCTCTATCTATCTCATTCTCTCTCTCAAAATAAAAATAAATAAAATCTTTAAAAAAAAATAATAAAATAAAATAAAATTATTAATTCTATTTCCTCAACAGATATAGGGCTATTGAAATGGTCAATTTCACGTTGGGTGGGTTGTGATAGTGTTTTCAAGGTCCATTTCACCTAAGTTTTCAAATGTATGTGTGTAGAGTTAGTATTCTCTAATTATCCTTTTGATGTCTGCCAGGTCTGAGGTGATATACCCTGTTTCTTTCCTAATATTTGTAATTTTTGTCAATTTTTTTTTCTTTGCCAGACTTCCTGGATGATTGTGAATTTTATTGATTTTTTTTTCAAGGAAAAAGCTTTTTGATTTTTTGATTTTTCTCTATGGCTTCTCTGTTTTCAGTTTCATGGATTTCTGTTCTCATCTTTACTATTTCCCTACTTCTGTTTACTTTGGCATTATTTTGTCCCACTTTTCCTAGATTCCTGAGGTGGGATTATTGATAATCTACCATTTTCTACAATAAAAAGCTTGAATGTAAAGGACATTTGGCATTACCTACCTTCCTACAGCAAATACAGTCAATCCCACAGTAATTTTATGTTTTTCATAATACTCTTCCAATACTTCTTCATTGAAAGTGCCATCCCATACAACCGGAGCTGACCAGCTGGTGGTAGACAGGTTCATGTATTCACTGTAAGAAAGACATAAGACTTATGAACAAGATATCTTTTTTTTTAATATTTTATTTATTTATTTGACAGAGAGAGAGCGAGAGAGGGAACACAAGCAGGGGGAGTGGGAGAGGGAGAAGCAGGCTTCCTGTTGAGCAGGGAGCCCAATGCGGGACTCGATCCCAGGACCCTGGGATCATGACCTGAGCCGAAGGCAGACGCTTAACGACTGAGCCACCCAGGCACCCCAAGATATCTTTTAATAAAACTGTAGTAGTTAAAAAAAAAAAAAAAAACTGCCGTAGATGTTACTAATGTATAAAGCCTGTGTCTGGTTGCAGCATTTCCTTACTCCTAATTCGAAGCTTTGATGGTTATGATAGACTGGAGAAACAGCTTCTCAGAAATGGCCAGATCATTACAAAAGTACATTACAAATTAGTTATACTGTGATTCCAAGGTCTTTGAGGACACAGTTAAAATGTCACCCAAAGTCTAAAATAGCAATATCTCCTGTATTTGGACAAAATCTCCTGGCCTTAGGCTTTTTGACACTAATTATTTTCAGAGACCATATTTTGAAAAATGACCTTTCCAGTTTCATATTCTAAAATGCTGCCAGGCTAATGTTACTGCATACTGTCAGAAACAACTTTGTCAAAACTCTGGAAGGTAGCCAAAGTTTGGCTACCTTCCAGAGTTTTAGAGCAATCAAGCAAAAGGTAAATCAAGAAAAGGATGACAACACAATAGGAGAAGGAAAGCTTTGTGGTATTTTAACTTAGCCTTACACCAACTCCCTGCCAGTATGGCAGTGGTATTGAAAACAGCAAATCATGTTCTCAGTGTGAGTACCTGCTTCTGGAGGAGAAGAGTGGATCTAATTCCGAAGGAATTGTGTTTGTTCATTTTGACCTGAGAGTTCCTCAAAGGACTGGACTGCTAGTGCTTTCCTTTGTTTTGCTTAACTCAGAACTCTCTCAAAATGGAAAAGTGGGTAAGTGCAGGGCAGTCCTTGAAAACATTTTAAAAAGGAACAAGCCCCTGCCAACTGAGGCAAGAAATTACAGTTGGATAAACACTAGATGTGCTGAAAGCCTGGGGAAGAAAAGTCTGGAAGAGAGCTCTTTGGAAAAGTAAAGGCCCTGATAAGATCCCATGTATAACAAGGAATTAGGAAATCCATGCACATGTTCAGGGCAGGTTACGTGCTCCAAAAAGATCCCTGAAGATCCTAAGCTTTCACCTCTAGATGATATTTAGACTCAGTGCAAGCAGGAAGTGAAGGCTAAGGCAGAGTTGTAAATAGCTGGGCTGTGTTGAAGGAGAGTCCAAACACAGAACCAATCTTCAAAGACTGTAAAAGGGTTCTTTTCTTTCTTCTTCTTCTTTCCTTTTCTCTTTTCTTTTCTTCTTCTTCCCCCTTCCCCTCTGCCTCCATCTCTTCATCTTCTCCTTCTCCAATAACCCCCCAACCACCACCATCAGCATCACTCTAGCTCTAGTCATTTAAGGGTATCTCTGTCAAACCACTAGCTGACCACAAGCTAAAGGAAAGAGACCTCGCAGACCAAACAAGACAAAGAATATGGTCTTTAAAAAATAGTTTGGAAAAGTCACTAAACAGACAAACAACTCTAGGAGGTAAGAGAATCTGACTTCCAAAGTGATCACACTATAATACACAAAATTCCTAGTTTTCAACTAAAAATGATGAGGCATGCAAAGAAACAAGAATGTATGGTCCACTCATAGGGAAACTGTCCCTAGGGTAGCCCAGACATTAGGCTTACTAAAACAAGACTTTTTTTTTTTTTAAAGATTTTATTTATTTATTTGAGAGAGAGAGAGTGAGAGATAGAGAGCACGAGAGGGAAGAGGGTCAGAGGGAGAAGCAGACTCCCTGCTGAGCAGGGAGCCCGATGTGGGACTTGATCCCAGGACTCCAGGATCATGACCTGAGCCGGAGGCAGTCGCTTAACCAACTGAGCCACCCAGGCGCCCTAAAACAAGACTTTAAACCAACTATTTTAAATGTGCTGAAAAAGCCAAAGAAAACTATGGACAAAGAACTAAAGGAAACTGGGAGAACAATAGCTTAACAAATAGAGAATGTGAATAAAAAGATAGAAATTATAAAAAGGAACCAAATAGAAATTCTGGAGCTGAGAAGTATAATAGCTGAAAAAAACAAACAAACAAACAAACAAACAAACAAAAACTTGCCCTAAAAAACTTGCCCAACAGCAGATTTGAGCAGGCAGAAGAAAGAATCAGATACACATAGAACATTTTACCAACAACAGAATACATATTCTTCTCAAATACACATGGGACATTTTCCAGAATGATCATATGTTAAGCCATAAAGCAAATCTCAATAAACTTAAGATGGCTGGAAACATGCAAACTATCTTGTTCATTGACAATGGAATGAAATCAATAACAAAATTTGAAAACTTCACAAATATGTGGAAATTGAACAACACACTCTTAAACAACCAAGGGGTCAAGAAAAAAATCACAAAGGGAATTTAAAAATACATTGAGATGAATAAAAACGAAAATAAAACATACCAAAACTTATGGGATGCAGTGAAAAGCAATAGTCAGAAGGAAATGTATAGCTGTAAACATCTATATTACAAAAGAAGAAAGATATCATATGATAACCTAACCTTCCACCTTAAGGAACTAGAAAAAAAGAGCAAACTAAACCCAAAGCAAGCAAAGGAACAAAGAATAAAGACTGGAGCAGAGACAACTGACATAGAGGAAGAGGAAAAAAATGCTAACATTAATGAAGCCAAAAGTTGGTTCTTTGAAAATATCAACAAAATTGACAAATCTTTTTTTTTTTTAATATTTTATTTATTTATTTCAGAGAGAGAGAACGCACGAGCAGGGGGAATGGCAGGCAGAGGGAGAGGCAGGTAGAGGGAGAAGCAGGCAAGGAGCAAGGAAGCCTCGAAGCAAAAAAAAAAAAAAAAGACAAAAGAAAAAGAAAAAGAAATGCAGTGGGAGTTGAATTTTATCCGTAGCTTATTTGGGTATAAATATGATTATATGGTTTTCTCCTTTGTTCAATTGTTGGGATGAATCATCACCCTGAGTTACAAGGATATGCCTTACTTGTTAGTGGGATCCTGTGCCAGTTTTTAAGCTAGCATCTTTCCATAACTAAACCCACCCCACTATACTCGGCTTTATTGTGCTGAGCTGGGACTCTGCGAGCCACAGCGGGCACCCTGTGAGGCTCTGCTAATAGAGGGCACGCTGGAGGAAAATTACAAGCCTGGAGGAAAAAGGAACTTGCTCTTTCCTGTTTCCAGTGGGCTCCCTTGCCTGCCTCCTGCTCCCTCAAATGCCACACCACCATATTAGCAGTTCCTTCCCAGACCCGCAGTTGAATCCAGATTTCAGCTTTTCCAACACTTGCAAACCCAGCCTCATGGTACCCTTCCCTAGAGGGCTGGTTCTCTGTCCCAAGAGGCCTTTCAAGAGCTCGGAGATACTAGCACAGTGGAGTGCATGAGTTTAAGCTCAAGTTACCTAGTTAACAACTTTATGCTAGTTAACAATTCTTTGTATTAAATTCTCTCTTAAAATAATCTGCGTGCTTTCTGTGTCCTGATTCGATCTGATAAAAGTTAGGATATCATGGAAGGATGAGTCACAGACCATTATCCAATCATGATCTTAACTGGACATCTCTTTGCAAAGTTTTAATTAGGACAAGTCCTGAAACCCTGCAGCACCAGGGAGAAAGGCTGGTGGGTGTAGTAAGAAGAGAGAGGCAGAGAGGCCAGAGGAAAGCCACCATATTAAAGTGAGAAGTGCACAGATGGCCCATCTATCTGATTTGGGCTATGGTTCCCTCATTGGTGAAATGAGGAGAATCAACCAAAAGATCTCAGATATACCCTTCACACTTTGACCTGCTATAATTTTAGGGCCTTTGGGTTTCTGTCATCCCACACTCTTATTTATGGAGGATGTAGGCCCTAATGTCCATTCCCAATGCGTCTTGGCCACTGCTTATTTTTTAAAATGTAATCAAAGATCCATCTGCCATCCAACAGTTGGAATGCCGTTTGTAGTATTGTTGCCATCTGTTAACTTCTGAACAATCTATGGATCAATCTCACATGTGTTTGATTTGGAATTCTTACCTGGGAGAAAACCAGTCTGATAGCTCTAATTCTTTTGATTGAGTATCCACAAACCTATCAGGAGGAATAATGCAAAGAATCACACAGTATCTATTTGAGTTTGAGGTAACTGAGTGTCTAGCAAATCATGGGCTATGTTATAATATGATGTAAAGTGCAAGATAAGCGTGAAGCAGTATGAAAAGCAATGATGAACTTTGATGGGAGTGGCATGGAAAATCATGATTTCTTACCTCGACTTACCAGCCTCTGGGCTGCCCAGAAACCTTTATGTGTTTCCACAATGTTCATTCTCCTTCTTCTCATTGATAGAGAAATAGCTGTCATCACATGAAAGCTCCCTCAATCTTCTGCCACATTGCCTCCAAATTTATCTTGAGCACTGATTTCCCCCCTTTTATTGCAACGGAAATATAACCCTACTTTCTGGCCTTAAATATCCTATCTGCTCAGGACCCTTGGTTTGAAGGTCTCACCTCGGCTTTCTGTTTGATCAGTTGACATGCGTGCAGGCATTTTCCTGTGGCTTCAGATTTGTATGTGCAGCTAGACTTCTCCTGGGAATTTAAGACCCAGACATCCAATTGTGTTCTGAAGTCTTCCACTTGAAGTTTGCGCCGATGCCACAAGATCAAGATGTTTAATGTGCAAATCATCCTGTCTTCCCCAGAGTAGGTCCCCTTCATATTCCCTTCATATGTTGCCTTATCACTTGGATTGGCAAGGCAGAAGTATGAGCCTCCATATTCCCATCCCCCGTAATTAACACTGTGATCCCCTCTGCCTGTCCTTGCACTGGCCTTTTTCAACCCATTCTCCATATGTCCACTGTGCTTCCACTGTCATGTTTCTGAAGCTCCAGGGTTCCCATGTCATTATTCTGTTTAACAGGGTTCGGTGGCTTCCCATTGTCCTGAGGATCACATCTACATTCCTTATATGGTCATGACATTCTGCGGGATCTGACCCTTCACACTGTTCCAGCCACGTCTCCTACCCAGCCCCACAGTGACAATTTTCCAGACTCACTTGCCTCTTTAAATTTCCTTAAACACGCCACGACTTCAACCAGTTAATTCCCACATAGCCTTTAGGTCTCCTGTTAAATATCCCTACTTAAGGGAAGTATACTCTAGCCTGATGGATGAGGTTAGATTCCCTTCATTAATAGCTAATACTTATGGAATAATTTCCTAAGTATTATCTAATTTAATCCACCTCTATGATATAGGTATTGTTGTCCTTATTATTATCCTCATTTTACTAGATAACGAAATTGAGGCACAAAGAGTTTTTATTATCTTGTCCACAGTCACACAGCAGGTGGGAAGACAAATAGTTGGGCCTGAGTCCTTACTTCCTCCCTGCTACACGCTCTAACGGCACCCTAGCTAGCCTATCTTTGGAGAGTTGATCCTGGGCTGAGTTCAGGAGGGGATTGGGCAGCTGTGGAGCCGAGTTGTATGTCATGAGTGAGCACTGCAGTGTCCAGGGTGTGACTGAGACCATGACCTTCTACACAGGCACCTGCCTCATTGACAGCAAAGCCTTTGGATGCTGAGAATTAGTGTGTTAAGGCCATATGTGTAAGCCTGATGCTAAGGAGAGCTAATATTAATGATAGAGCGATTGTTAGATTGCGTTGCATTGTGTACATTTTACCAGAAAACATATTAAATCATTCTTTCTCCCAGCCTCTGCTGCAGCAGACTTCCCTTGCATGTTCCCACCTTTGTCTAGGGATTTTCCTTTTGTTTTCAGGTGGTTGAGAGTTACTGCCCCCTGTTAGCCATGGCTCTATAGAGGGGAAACATACCCTGCCCATGAAAACCATCTTACTGTATTATTTTCATGCACAGAGCAGCTCACCCACATATGGAGTCACGGTCCTGGTGAGAGTGTTGTGCACCATGGAACCACCAGAGACATAAGGCTCTTCGACACAACAAGCACCAGAAAGTTTCTTTTACTTCTCTATGTGGGTTCCCATGACTGCAGGGAGAAATTGAAGAACATATTATGATATGGGGTCTTGCACAATCTTTAAGGAAGTTTTCCTCTCTGCGTACGGTCTGATAGTATGATTTTGTAGGTGGCCTGTGGTTAATAACAATCTCCTGAATCTTTTAACCAAAACTTTACTCCTGTGTGATTTCCCAGAGCTTTAAAAGACCCAAGATTCCTGGAAGCTGGGTTCTGGCTCCCGTCACACGTTTCCCCCAACCATTTCTCACTCCTAGTACTCCTAGTCCTCTGACCTTACACGAGCATCTCCAATGTATGTTTGTAAAATTACTTTGGTTTACCCTGCCTGCAGGAGCCAAGGACGTGCAGATACCCCACTGCCCTCCAACAGGTTTTGTCCTCAAAGAAGAGGTCATAGCATATTTGTAAATAAGGCTTACCAGCACCGGTGTACCTTCTGTAGTTTCTTTGTGCTTAGGATAAACAAAAATAATTATATTACTTTTGAACTTATACAAAGGGTTTCCACATTTAATTTTTTAAAGATTTTATTTATTTATTTGAGAGAGAGAGAGAGCACAGAGGGATAGCAGCTCGAACAGACTAAGACACATGCTATGTGCAAACATTACTGGTGGTAGATACAGTAATGAACGTGATAAAAAAATTACTGCAGTTAAGGACTTCATATGCTATATCTTAAAAAAAGGAAACCTAATTATTTGAGCTATGAATGAAAGAAGAACTAACTTAATATCATTGAAACAATGGAATTTGCTAATTGCCAATGAATTCTTTCTACTTATGTAACTATGGGGAGGGCAGATATCATACATAGTACTGGAAGTCACCAATATTAGGGATGTTTCTTAAAGATGCCACCTATTTATAATATACGGTGATTAACATAACAATAAAAAAATAAAAAATAAATAAATAAAAATGGCAGTTTCTCTAACATTTGCTAATTGCCATAATTACATGGTCACTATCTTGGTAGCTTACATTGCTTCTCCTCACACATATGAGCCTACAAAAATTATGTTTAGCTTTGATCACATTAGAAACAAAGAACTTTTATGCTGACGGTTATGTTTATGCTGAGAGATCTGAATGCCATTTGGATATTTCTGGGTATATTGGATTGATACATTTGGATGCTTATTTATTCAGGGGGTTAGCCTATCACCTTTCTGACAAACTAGATCCTTACCAAACCCCAGAATAAAATATTCATTAATTTTTTAAAAATTACCTGAAATGATACTGTCTGTGCAAAGCCCAGAGAAACAATAAAAATAGTAACAATTGAATTATTTTTCTTCCATATTTCATCCTTTCCTGAGAGGAAAAAGAAACAGATAAAAGTAGATTAAATATAGCACAGTGTACACAATGTATACAGAATAAGCTGTGTTGAATTGTGATTCCCCATGACATAAACCAGCTGATTTAACAGATATCGACTAGGATTTGAGGCACATCTCGTCCTTGGATGTCTCTCTATATGAAAATAGAGTTGAGTCGAACACTTTTTGTGGGAGCTAGCTAGGACATTAGCTGGTCTAAGCCAGCCTTGATGCAAGAGATTTTACAACCTTCGTTTGTCTTTTCTAGAGTGCACAGGGCTTTTCCTACAGAAAATCAAAATACAAATGCCACTTCCCGGCCTAACTTATAGGGTGGGGTTCCAAAGAAAAGAGATAATTGTGAAAATACTTACTTGGACTTTAAGGAGGGGTATAGTTGTAAAGGAACTTATTTTTAATGAATTAATATTATGAAGACGATCATTCCAAATAGGTGATAGGACCAATAACAGCATAAAATAGATGCTCTTCCTCAAAAGTATTTGAATATAAAGTTGATTCCAAGTATGGGCTAGAGGCTGAACTATAATTTTTAGATTATTTGTACTTTGACCTTGGAATTTTGCCATGAAGTTTATAAAGCTCCTTTATGATACTCAGTCTATGCACTTATGAAATTGTGTGCAGAAAAGGAATTGAATGTGGCTCAGTTTGGTTGAAATTAAGGACAAACTCTTACCTTTTGTTTTCCTAAGATCACATAGGACTTTTATGTAGTTTCTTCCTTAGAGACTTAATATTTACAGTATGGTGGTTTGGGAAGACATGTGGAAAATCTCAAGTGGGCTGTTTTCAAGCAGGACATTCTGAGACCTTTGAAAAATCATGAATCAGATAACCTGGCATTGGTTCTACGGCACTGCCCAGTTTACCTGTTTATTATTTCAGTCTTCTGGGAGTGATGATGTCATCAGATTCTCTTTTGATGATGAAAGAATTAGATACTTGTAATCATAACAATTCATATGCCAGTAGCTTCTCTTTGTCAATACCAAGGGACTAGATTTTGTCCCATTTAGGGAAAAAAAACATAGGATCATTGAAGTTCTTTTCCTTACTTGGGATTTTTTTTATAATACATTTTTAATTGAAGTACAATTTACATGAAGTAAAACACATGCAATTTAAGTGTACAGCTCATTGGGTTTTTTACACATGTCCATGTCTATGTAAATACCACTTCAGTTAAGATACAGGATGTCTCCATGACCCCAGTAACTTTTTTCTTGTGCCCCTTTGTGTCACTACTCTCTCCCATCCAGGAAACCGGTGTTCTGATTTCTATTATCATAGCGGAGTTATTCCTGCTGTAGAACTTCATGTAAGTAGAATTGCATGGCATGTATTCTTTGCATTTTTTTTTCCACTCAGGGTTTTGCAACTCACCTATGTTGTGTGTATATGACACATACCAAAAGTTAATTCAAAATGCATTATAGATGTAAGCATAAAAGCTAAAGCCACAAGCTTTTAGAGAAAAACATAGGAGGATATCTTTCTAACCTGGGGATAGATAAAGGTCCCTTAGAAGGTGACAGAAAACAACAACTAAAAAAATGATAAATTATACTTTATTATAATTAGAAAACTTTTGCTCATTGAAAGACACCATTAAGAAATTAATAATTAAGCCATTACTACTCAACAGTGGTTTACAGTGACCTAAATAATACATACCATATGTGATCCATACAGGAAATAAAATCTATTATTAATATTAGAAGTTTTCTGTTGATCTCCATTCTTCCTAGAAGAAAAAATGGGGAATGGTGAAGAAGGATAGTTAAATTAATACAGAATTAGAATGTTTTGAGTCATAGGAAAGTAGATAATACCAGACTAATGCTCGCATAGATGACAGTCATAAGTCCTGGAAAGGAAAATAAAATAAATATTAAATAAAACTATTTGAAGGCAAAAGAGATGGAACAAAACCAGTTGATCCTTGAAAGGAGGGAAGTGTATCAGGTAAAATTTACATTTATACAACTTTTCATCTGAGGTTACCTCCCAATTCACACAGAGTTGGGTGGCTAGAACTCACAGAGAAAGACATGAGCGGTCAGAGGATGAAATTCGTACATGTAAAGAAGGCTAAAAAATAATGTAGAAAACAGAAAGAGGAAAACACAGAATGGGGTACCCCAAAATCTGCATAGAAACTCTGACTTAAACCCTGGAGGACAACTAAACTGTCCATGCTTAGGAAAAACTGCAGTTTCCCTAGGAAATAGCAACATCTGAAATTGAGCAATTTCCGCCAATGCTCCCTGCAGGATAAATGGAGTTTGGAATTTGAGTCCAGCCCAGTTAACTATCTGTCCAAACAAAAATCAACAGTCTTTAGAGGAAAATAACAGAATCCAGAGTCTCTACATGTCATCTATAATGTCAGGTAGACATTTTGGAAAATTCCTAGACATGCAAAGAAACAGGAATATGTGACCCATACTGAAGAGAACAAGACCCCAATATAAATCAGATGTTGAAAGTGGTAACCAAGGACTTTAAAGGAACTATTATAAAAATGTTTGAGGATTTAATGGAAAGCTTGGTCAAAACAAATGAACAGAGGAAAGCTGTTTAAAAATGGACATTCTAGAAGGGGAGTAAATCGGAGGGAGAGATGAACCATTAGAGACGATGGACTCTGAGAAACAAACTGAGGGTTCTAGAGGGGAGGGGGGTGGGGGGATGGGTTAGCCTGGTGATGGGTATTAAGGAGGGCACGTTCTGCGTGGAGCACTGGGTGTTATGCACAAACAATGACTCATGGAACACTACATCAAAAACTGATGATGTAATGTATGGTGATTAACATAACAATAAAAAATTCTAAAAATGGACATTCTAGAACTTTGAAAGTATTGTATTTGAAATGAGGATGTTAGTGGATGGGCTTACAAATGGATTGTATACTCTAGAAGAAAAGTTCAGTGAAATGAAGGATAAAATCAATGTTAATCATCTTATGTGAAAAAGAGAGGAAATGAAAATCCATTTACATTTAAACTGCAATCAGAAGCCACCTTAGCCACCCACATTCAGAAGTTTTCACACTCTGTCATTATGACAGTCTCTCCAAGTTGGGGGCATTCCAGAGGAGGGGAAAGAGTGGGAAGCCTGGGGGTACATTGTCCTCTGGTTGGACAAATAAGATGGTAAGGCATGAACGGCATAATAATATTGAAAGCCCATCTACTCTCAGGAAGTGTTTGAGATGGCTTACTATTAAGAAGGTGTGGTTACAGTAAACAGGGAAACAGCACAAGAATTTTTTTTTTAAAAAAAGGGAACAGAGAGGCACCTGGGTGGCTCAGTCGTTAAGCATCTGCCTTCGGCTCAGGTCATGATCTCAGGGTCCTGGGATCGAGCCCCGCTTCGGGCTCTCTGCTCCGTGGGAAGCCTGCTTCTCCCTCTCCCACTCCCCCCGCTTGTGTTCCCTCTCTCGCTGTGTCTCTGTCAAATAAATAAATAAAATCTTAAAAAAAAAAAAAAGAAAAGAAAAGAAACCCTGAGTCTAGAAATAGTTGGGGCTGAGCCATATTGACAGACCCCTAGGGAGAGTTCACAATTTTTAGCTGTTGAAGCCCTTAGAACTTCCCTGGCTCTTGCTCATGGCCTGGCTATAGTGATGTGCTGGAAAATTTTTACACAACCAACTCCTAAAAAAGAAAAATGGAAAAGGAAAGGGAAAAGAGCCCTGATTTCCAGGGTTTGCTGATTCCCATGGTGTCAGTACTCCCAGTGTGGCCCATATCAAGCTATCACAGTGAAGTCCCTGCACAGGGAGTTGGGAAACAAGCAGGCATAAACCAGCTTCAGTATACTACTGTCTGGTTATCAACTCTCTCTTGTATTCAGTGGAACTTTCCCTCCCGAAAAATAGCTTCCCAAAAATCTCCCTTTCAGATTTAGACAGCTTAAGGGGGATGCCTGTTCCTTACAATCAAAATATTTTTTTAAAGATTTTATTTATTTATTTGAGAGAGAGTATGCGCATTAGCAGGAGGGGGTGGGGGCAGAGGCAGAAGGACAAGCAGACTCCCTGCTGAGCACAGAGCCTGATACAGGGCTAGACCCCAGGACCCCAAGATAATGACCTGAGCCTAAATCAGAAACCCAACCAACTGAGCCACCCTGGCACCCCAGCAATGAAAATATTTGTAACTAAAATACCTAGCTAGCATAACCACGTTTTATTCTGAACAGTTACAGTCACCTCACTAAAAGTATGTTCTAACTTTGGCTGATTTTTCACAGCCACATTCTTTAGATATTTATAGCTATTTGCATTTATTCATATCTATTTCTATAAATGTGTGGTCTTTACCAGATCCAGAGAGGAATGTTTTTAATCACTGCAGTTGCTTTGGAGAAGTATAATCTTTGGAAATCCCTGCCCTCTAGTGTCCAGTATAGGGAACTGCTTCTGTTTTAGCTGTGAATGTTCCAGGAGTAAGAGGTGAGTTTAAGGCTCTTGACACCCATCAGGGACTCTCCCTAGGGGATAGGCCACTGGGTATTATACATGTTGACTCCCCAGTGTTTCTTCCTTAATGAAGTCCAAAGGAACTTTACACCACGGTTTCTCAACCTCATCACTATTGACATTTTGAGCCAGATCGTTATTGCGGGGGCTGTCCTGTGCATTGTAGGACATTTAGCTGCATCCCCGGCCTCTACCCACTAGATGTGAGTAGCATTCCCCGCCCCCCAGCTGTGACAGCCAACAATATCTTTAGACATTGCCAAATGTCCCTGGGGTCAGGGCGGGCGGCGGGGGGTGTGGTGCAAAGTCATCCTGGTTGAGAACCACTGCTCCACACTGATGAAGCCAATTGGTCCCTGCCTCACTGACCTTAAGCAGCACTGAACCCAGTAGATTATGGCACCAGGTTAGAGCCTGAAGCCCCGGCTGCAATTCCTGAGTCCTCATGCTATGTACTACACACAGGAGGAAATATTCCAAGTGCCAGATATGAAAGTATCCGCTCTGTGGTAGGACATAGAGTCCACAATCAAAATTTAATGAAAAACAATTACTTCTTATTAAGTATGGTGGGAGTGGATGTGATCATTCATTCATTCATCCATTCAGTAGGTATGAGCTAAGCAGTGCCTCTGAGTTGTAGTGGGGGGCTGGGACTGATGCAAAGGCAGACTGTGGACCTGCCTTTCAGGAACAATTCTAGAAGGGTTCAATGGGGATATTTTTCAGTTATAAGAGAAAGCCCATTTCCAACTGACTTAATAATGTGACTCATACATTTGAAAAGCCCACAGGCAGTGCAGGCTTCAGTGACTCAGGCTTGTCATCAAGAACAGTATTTCCTTCAGCATCCTTGTTCCATCCTAAGGCTGACCTTCCCGTGGTCAAGTTCCTAATACTACATGCTTCCTCATTTCCTGAAAGGACCGGAGATTCACTTTGAGTGGACTAGTTTAGGTCACCTGCCCATCCCCAAATCAATCATTGCCACCAAGGAGATGGAAAGTGTTGATTTGCTTAGTCTGGATCCCTGGGTCCAACCATGGCACCAGTTTCCATGGAAATCACGTAGACTCCATCAAGGATCCCCGGCATTGCTGTGAGGGGAGAAAGAGAGCTACAAATGGCAGGCAAATGTGGAGTCCTCAACCAGCCAAAGTACTCACGTGGTCTTTTCTGCTTTCCACATGGGCTCTGCCAGCTGATTTCAGCCAGTGCCAAGGCCCCAGCACCATTTGTGTGGGTCTCTGGGAAGGTCTCCTGGCAGCCCTCTGTGCTTTACATCTGCTGCTCCTCGCTCTGAAACCTCCTTCCAGCTCCACTCCTCAGTTACCCCCTTCTCTTCTTCTAAAGCTCAGAGTCAGCCCCTCCGAGGCAGCTTCGTCCTTCCTTCCTCCATGCTTCCCTGGACCCCGTATCGCTCACGTTTCATTTGCCTGCCTCTCCAACATGGCGCTATGATGGCTTTAGACCTGCATTCTGAGAGGTTTTGGTCAACTAAGTTTTCTCTCTTTAGTGCCTAATAGAGGAATTGAGAGCTTTTGGTATTGATTCCTTGGGTGTTCTCAAATTTCTCAAAAACAAGATGACTAAAATGTGTGTGTGTGCATGTATGCACGCTTGCACAGATGTGAAAGAGAGAGTGAGGGAAGCAGACAGGAGCTGTGAAAAGAGCAAAGGATTTAGAATCAGAAAGTCCTGGATGCGAGTTCTAGTCATCACCCTTATAGATCTGAGGCTTTGACCAATGGATCCTCACTTAACCCTGCTTTCCCTCGCCTTAAAAAGTATGCATTGGTATGTTATGTATTCATGCTTTCTATGACCTTTTACGTGTTAGTATGCTATTGTGCCTCTGTTACTCATTTATATAAGGCACATTTAACAAGCAGTGCATTTAATAAATACTTATAAGTATTGCCATAACCATGATTCCCTTATTGGTAAATCACATGGTGACTTTGGCTGGGAGACATCAAAGACGCATCATTCCAAGAAGGACAAGAGAAGTTAAGGCCCTTCAGGGCTTAAAGAAACGTGTCCCCTTCCAGCTGCATGTGACCCCCAGATTAGATGTGGAGTGGAAGGTGGAGGCGTGGCTTGTCTCTTTCACCTGTCCCCCCCCCCCCGCCCAATCGTGCTGCCTTGACACAACAGCTAGTGTGTGCCCACAGGGCTTGTATCAGCCCTGCATCCACAAAGTAAAGATAAGAATGATCACAGTCTTTTATTTTTTTTTTTGCATGATCCATTTTAACTAATTTAATGCATTTAGGGCAGGTTTAGTACACAAAAAGTGGGAAATAGTACAACAGGCTTCGGGATGTATCTAGTTTTTAAAATATTAATTCTTATGGCAAAAATGCCCCTTTACAAGATCCTTCTGTAAAGTTGCATTTTCCTTGATATGAAACATGGCCCTTTCAGATGTATGGTGTCAACACATCTATCCTTGTAGGCTTCTCTGGTTTGAGCTTCAGCTCGGTCATTTTCTAGCCAGGTGGCTAACCTTTCTGAACATCACTTTGCTCATCTATAAAATGAAAATAATTCTAATGAGGGAACGATGCCCTGTTGTGTATCTAGTGCACCGCACTCCATCAGTCTTGTCACCTCTCATCTATTTATTACAAATCTACCCGCCCTGACTTTGCTGGAAGTCCAGCCTTTTCCCAGGGCCCCCTGGGCCACATATATTCCCCAGAGGTCAGAACTAATAAGCCCCAGATGTAGTTATGACACTGTTTTTTTCCCTCTGCCCTCGCGCCCCACCCTAGGCTTCAGGGGCAAGCCTTTTCTTTCTGGTTCCTTCATGGGCAGTTAATTACTTCAATGCACCACTTTGGAAAAGCTCTCCATAAGCATTTGTTGTTTTGAAAGTTTGGGACTTTCAACCATCTTCTCTCTTCATAACAGTGAACACATTTTTAGAAGGACCTCAGGACTTTTTGGAGTCTAAGAATGTAAAATTGTGTAGTGGACGATTCTGAACATCTTTGGGAGGAAGTGCACAATCCATGACCAGACCAGAATCTACTGAGAAAATAATTTATTCAGTTGTGAATCAGGAATTTTATTACTGTTTTTTTCCAATGTTTAAGAATAACTACTCATGAGATCTTGAGTTTGTTCATTTGGGATTTAAATTTAAACGAATAAAAAGAAATGAAGATTCCCTCAAAAGTAAACATCAACCCTTTCCCCTAATCTTTTAAGATAGATCATTTCTTTGGTGTAGGACTTAAATGCTCAACTGTCTCTACTCCAGAATGGATCCCAGAAAACTTGAATCCTGGAGAGGCAGCATCCTAACTGACATGCGGTCTCCGTTTTCTTTCACGAAGTCCACTTCTTCAGGATTTTTGTTGGTTTGGTTTGGTTTTGCTAGGTTGGGAGATTTTTTTGGCAAGGACTAAAGAGTAGGAGACACAGTGAAATGGTAGGAAAAAATGTGGGTTTCATTTGGATCACATAAGCCCATTGCGCCCACTGTGCAGCCAGGGCAGTGGCTCTTCAAATCCATCACTTAAAAATGGAAACAAAATGACCCAAACTGGAATACAAGCGAAGTATAAATATACCTGCCTAAGTAGATGTTGCCTCCCAACTTCCTTGACACTGAATCGCTTAACTTTAAAGAATATGTAGGATTTCCGAGCTTCTCTTAGAGAAGGGAACTGTATGTTAAGATGTTCAGTCATGAGGACTGGATCTCCCATCGCCATCCCTTCTGCTTGTGATATAAAAGCAATTATCCACTTTATTCACCATATCTGGTTGTTCCACTGCTTTAGCGCAGACGGGGCAGGGGAAAAGGAGAGGGTTTTTCCAATCCGGTCCACTCCTGGATTGTCAGCCCTCCACTTTGGGGCATGATGGGCTGGGGGCCCCTGAGGGTTAGAGCAGGCAGCCGCAGGACACGTTGACGACTGATTGTCATGAAGCCCAGGTTTGGAAAGTGGAACTCCTAGCCAGCCTCTTCAGTCCACCATGGGCCTTTGCCTTCTCTGACACCATCCACTTCCTCCGGCCACAGAACTGAAGACACACAAGTGGCAGAGTCCGGCAGACTAAAAGTGACTTGGGCAAAACAAGAAGCATCTTCCATGCCAGCCCCCACCGCTCTGGTTGTTGTGGGTCTGAGGAGGCCGGAGATCGCCCACATGGCCTCCCACTCAGCACCTGGATCCGTGCTGTGTTTAAGCACCAGCCCCGTACCCTGAGCCCCTCAGGGGTGGCTCCTCTTTTCCCACTCTCTGCCACTTCAGGGCAAACTCACTTTCAGTCTTTTGTTTTCACTCCATGCTGAGCCCCCACTGGCTCATTCACATTCCCTGGGACTCCAAACCTTCACCACCATGATGTCCACTGGGAATCTCCACCAATCTTCTGTACAGAAGCCAAATGCCATTTTCCTGATGGGAAAAGAACATGGACAGCCAATGGCCTGAAGCAGTCTGCTACTGAAACCATCTGAGGATTGCCAAGGGGGACTGTGTCCTTACTCAAGAGTTCTGCTGCCAAGCAACTCAGCAAGGACAATGAAGTCAAGGGGATGACCCCCCACAACTGGATCTTGTTGCCAAACACTTCCTTAGCACCCTTTTCTCCAGTACATTATCCGGCACGTGCAGAGTGTTTCTGGCTTTTTGTTGTGTCAACTTTTTTTATTTTTTATTTTTGGTTCAGTTGATAGTATTTTCCCCAAACCCAAAAAAATAAGAAATCACTGGGAATTTACATCTGATCACCATAGGTTCATTCTCCCATACTGCAAGGTTCGAAGTTATAAGGAAGAAGAGCAAATATTTGCTGTATTGGTGTTTTGTTAGTATTGTTTAAAAGTTAAGTGTTACTCTTCTGAGAAAGTTGCCAGAATCATACTCTCTCAAATTCAGAAACCTACTGGCACAGTTTAAAGTCAGATATTATTTCTAACCAAATTATACTCTTTTGTCTGCCAAGATATCTTGACAGTCTTAATATCTGAAGGCAGGCCTATGTGATAATCCCAGCAGTATTCTGGGGATAAGATTTTAGTGGGTTTGTTGAGAAGGAAATACTTGTTTAGGTGACTTTCATCATGCCACTCAGCTTCTATGTCATTTTTCTTATCCTGAAGGATTCCCTTGAAGCACTCCTGGGTGATGTTTAGGACCTGAGTGGGTGTTCCTCCAAAAATGGCTGCATGGTAATAAAAATCCCCCTGGCCAAATGGAATGTAGGCTGCAGACTCCTTCCGCCTCTCATAGGTAAACTCATTGGGATCTGCCTTGTACCACCAGGCCTGCAGCTGAGCCACTGACTGGCCCAGGGTCTCCACTCCAAAGCTATCTTGGAAGACCTGGTCCACATCCATGCAGAAGAGGAAGTCCACTTCATGCCGGATGTGGGCCACAATGTGCTCCCCAATGGTCTTCATACGCATCATGCTGACGTCCTGCCACCTCTTCTCAGGCTCAATCTCAAAAACTTTGAAGGAACGCAGAGGACCCAGCTCTATCAAGGGCATCCTGGAGACATCGTCTACCATGATATAAAATATGACTCTGTGGCCAACCATGAAGTACCTATTGGCAGATATTAAGAACTCCTCCAAGTAATGCTCGATGTATCTGAAACAAAGAAGAACAGGACAAATGTAACAGCTGGGATTTGTGCGGAAGACTACGTGCTCTTCTAATCATCTTGTCTGTGTTTGACAGTGTAGGGGAGGAATGATTTTCCCCATCCCAGACATGTGTTTTCCACATCTGATAGGGGAACATTCCTGGCTGCTTTCCACCATTCATTCGCTCCACTTTGGGGAGGAGGAGTGACTTACCTGCTGATGTTGGAAGAGCGACAGGGCATTTGCAGCCCTACCCCCACCACTCTCACTCTTGGAAATGGCCACCAGCCAGTTGAAGACAGCCTGTGCTGTCTTGGGGCCTTGAAGTGAGCCTAGTGGAACAGGTCCTACTCTGCGTCTGGAAGCCTGGATACCTAATCTTTCTACTTCCGCGGTTCAATATCAGGAAGCCTAGGGTCTGCAGACAGAAGCCGCATTCTCCAGTACCCTCTTTAACTGCAATGAACATGACATTCACATCATCTGCTTTGCTTAGCCCTTTGTCTTATTTATCTGTTGGTTCAGACTCTGGGCAGGCAAAGTGGGTGCTAGATATTTTTCCTTCAGTTTCACTGAGATAATTGACATATAACATCGTGTAAGTTTAAGGTATACAAAGAGTTGATTTGATACACTTATATATTACAAAATGATTACCACTATAGCATTAGCTAATACCCCCATCATGTCACATAACTACTGTTTCTTTTTTGTGATGAGAACATTTGAGATCTATTCTCTTAACAACTTTCAAGTGTATAATAACAGTATTATTAACTATAATCACCAGGATATACATTAGATCCCCAGAACTTACTCATCTTATAACTGGAAGTCTGTACCCGCTGACCAACATCAGGGGGCACTAATATTCAGATATACCCAGTGTTGCTGCTGTCCTACCAGATGCAAGGGTGACATGACCCTTGGGTCCTTTGGGGACGTATTAAGCCTAACCACCACTATTCTCATATCCTCTTCTGGGACCCAGGGAATGGGTTGTAGGGCATAGATATCCTTCTATATTACATATTCACCCTGTGAGCCTCCCATTGATTAGCCCAAACACCAATTCATTGTTCAGATGTACCCACTGCACCCCCTCCCTCCCAACAGCTTTCCCCCGCTACCAATTTCCAGCATCAGGGTGATACAAGCCGTGCAATCCATGAACCTACACTGACATATCATTATCACTCCACCGTTTACGTTAAGATTCACTCTTGGAGTTGTACATTCTATGGATTTGGACAGATGTGTAGCAATATGTATCTGTCACTATGTATGGTATTATACAGAGTATTTTCACTGCCCTAAAAATCCTGTGTTCTGCCTGTTCATCCATACCTCTCCCCGAACCCCATCCCATCCCTGCTTTTCACTGTCTCCATAGCTTTGCCTTTTCTAGAATGTCACCTAGTTGGAATCATATAGTATGCAGTCTTTTTAGATTGGTTTCTTTCACTAAGTTAACATGCATTTAAGGTTCGTCCACGTCTGCATGGCTTGATAGCGCATTTCTTTTTAGCACTGATAATATTCTAGATGTTACAGTTTATTTATCCACTCACCTACTGAAGGACATCTTGGTTGCTTCCAAGTTTTGGCAGTTATCAGTAAAGCTGGTATAAACATCTGTGTGCAGTTTTTTGTATAGACATAAGTTTTCAACTCCTCTGGCTAATAAATACCAAGGAGTGCAGTTGCTGAATTGCATGGTAAGATTATGTTTAGCTTTGTAAGAATCTGCCAAACGGTCTTCCAAAATGGCTGTACCATTTTGCATTCCTACCAGTAATGAAGGAGAGTGCTCATTGCTCCACATCCTCACCAGCATTTGGTATTGGTACTGACAGTGTGTTTTGGATTTGGGCCATGCTAATGGGTGGGTGGTGATATTTCAGCTATGTATGTCTTCATTCCAAACACATCATGTTGGTGTCTTCTGTAACCCAAGCTGTACGCTCTTGCAAAGCCATGGAGATCAGAGAGAAGGAAGAAGTAGGAGTCAGATGGCTTAACACAACTCATGCAGACCCCAGACTCATGCTTCGCTCAGTGAATGTGGATTGAATTGAATTTGCTAATCACAGCCGCAGCCAGTCAAGATGTTTTGCGAGTCATAGTAACCAGTACTTCGTTGTGCTTTTTTGTTGACTGCTTGGATTTCCTTTCTTTTACTACCAAAGTAAAGTGTGCTTTTAATGCTGGCCACTAGAAGGCCAAGAGTTTACAGTACTGATTATTTAAATGGAAAGAAGATATCTGAGCAATATAAACAGGGAGTTCAACATGGCTCTGTGGCTGGTTGCCAGGAAATTCTTGGGCACTCTGGAACTTTTAAGAAAAATCTATTGTGCTCGGAAGCTTGGGAGACAATCCTAGGGCGAGGGAGGGAGCCGAGGGAGGTTTAACATTGTTTGGGGATTAAAACACTGCTGTTGGCTTCCTGCATTGTTATTTGAAAACAAACCAAACATCACACCTCCTAAGTCCAAATCCACTCGTACAAGGATTTATTGCTGCTGAGTGCACAAACAGTCCTCTCGAGCATCAGAGCGGAGGGCATAGGGCTTTCCCCAGGATAGATGATTTATAGTTTGGTTCTGCAGATTTGCAGCTGGACGGTGAAGCCATTGTGGAGCCATAGGCGGTATTCTGTTCTTGGGAATGCCAACATCGAATCAATCCGTAACATTCATGCCATGGGATTAAGTGAGCTGAGTATTGGCTCCTGGCTCAGAACAGTACAGATTCTCCTGGGGAAAATGTCAAAACTCCAGAGTCACCCTTGTCTATTAGAGATGCCATCTAGGTGACTAACCAGGTCACCATACCTGATTAGTTTGGTAACAGCGATGGCTTCTGGGCTCTGGGCTGGAGGTCTTAGGAGAACCGTCAGATCTTCACAGAGCTCTCCTTTAGGCCCTACGGTGGACAGAGCTGAAGCTCAAATCAACCTGGGCCTTCAACACTCTTCATACAGGCCAATGGATCAACTTTCCATGTGGTTTTCAGGAAAGGAACAGAAGGAAAAGCCCATGGTGGGGGTAGGGACTAGGAAAATTGAACTTTTGCTTTTGTTTTGGGAAAAAAAACCCAAAAACTTTCCAAAAGAGCAAAATGGGTTACATTTTAAAACTAATATTATGGCTATTAATTTCAAGTAAGAATGACTGTAGTTTTGGGAGAGGTGTTCTACACAAGGACATGAAAGCCGAAACAGGAAACTACCCAACTTCTAGAAGGGGAAGTTCTGGCTGAATCTCTGGAGGCCAAGAAGCACCTGAGGAGCCCACGGAAGACATGGAGAACTGCCATGCTTGGATCAGTCTGGACTGTAAATCCTTCTGTCCTTGGTCCTGGGTCTGAGAGTGGAGGAGGACAAATGATGCACATTGGGGCCAACAGCTACCATTTTTGGAACTTCCAGAGAAAGCCATGGAGGTCAGGAAGGAGGTCACTGTGGGTGTGCTATAGACCCTAGGCTCCGTGGGTGGAGCAGACGCTTTCACCTGCAACCTGAGACCCTCACTTTGAGGTGGGAAGGAGTCGATTCACCTACCATTGTTTTGTTCTCAGCCTTTCGGGGTCCTCAGCAGAACGGAGATGGAAACTGTCCTGTTCTAACATTCTCCTATCTAAGAATTCAGACAAGGCAGGAACAGCTCCATGAGCCCAGGGGGCCCCTCACAAACATCTGACAATGAAACAAGAAAAAGCCGAGGTCGATCTTATTAGGCACACTTACCTTCCAACAGCAAAAACCGTCAAACCCACAGTAATTTTCTGTTTGGCATAGTAATTTTCTAGGATGGTCCTGTTGTAAGTGCCTTCCCACACGACCGGCGCCTTCCATCCGGTCACTGTCAGAACCTCTGGACGTTTCCTGGTGACAAAACATAGGGCCCCATGAGTCAGGACAGCTTTCCTAAGGTGGGGTGGAGACTGTCCAAGGGAACACTGGGGTCAGCTGTGATCTGCTGAGACTGCCCTGGAATCCTGACTTAGCCCCAGGCACTCAGCGGGCTGGTGTGACTGCAGGGGCGGCGTCTTCTGCGTGAGGGACAGGAGGCTCTGGCCAGGGAGCTGGGAGGGCTGCCTTCGGGGCCCTGATGGGGATCTCATCTGTACATGTCCATGTCCTCTGACCCTGTTTGCTGCTTTCCTAGTTCCCTTCTTCCTTGCAGATCTCATTCCCTCTGTCCCCAGCCCGTTCCTAAACTGCCAGTGGCATCTGTGGGTTTGATCCCCGCGGGTGCCATCTGAGCCGCAGGAGGCCCTAATCCTTGACTTGGGAGGATGAGAGTGACCTTGGAACCAAAAGACAGAAAGCTATTTTAATTTGCCTTTTGCCAGAAAGGGATTTCTGGGTAAAAACTTGGTTATAGGCCAAAAAGGGGCCCAGACTTAAGAGGGTTCTGGTATTACTCATTTTACAAACAGAGACAGAGTCATCTAGAAAAGCCGGGACTCGGTAGAGGCCAAGGCTGGAACTTGGGGTTCTGGCACAGACCCTCTCCTCAGACCACGCTGCCTCTTTGCTAGGAGCACAAAGGGCAAAGGGGAGGCCTGTTTTCTGCACTCAGAATGTCAAAAGGGACTTGGCAAAGCCAACACAGACACAGGAAGCAACATAAGAGCGACGGCAAACTGACCAACTGCGGAGGGAAGGTGTGGAAAGGCTGCGGAGCAGCTGGGGCCCAGCAGGAGCGGGTGACACAGACTCAGCTCTGACCCCCATTTGCTCAGGAAGTGGCTGTATTTCCCGTGCGGGGAAGCAGACACCGAAACACAGTCATCAGGTTCAAACCCCGGCACCAACGGGCCTGTCCCCACGAGGCATCTGTTTGTACTGCACCCACTGCGGGGGGGGGGGACCAAGAGGGCAAAGTCCAGGTGGTCCCCGTTGGGTCCCTGCCGACCGTGTGCATGTGGCCCTGGTGAGGCTGTGGGGAGATGTCAGCAAATAGATGGAGCCAGTGAGAACTGCCCCTAGTCCTACACATCAGTGGAGGGTGGGTTTTCACAAAACTGCCCACGTCCCATCAGCTAAGCTGGGTTTTCCAGCGTGAGGTTGGACAGGGCTGGGTCAACCACCACCTCACCCCAACCCCAGGCCCAGCCTCACCCCGGCCCCAGCTCCAGTCCCAGCCCTGGTCTCAGCTCCAGGCCCAGCCTCACCCCAGCCCCAGCCCCAGCCCCAGCCTCACCCCAGCCCCAGCCTCACCCCAGCCCCAGCCCCAGCCTCACCCCAGCCCCAGCCCCAGCCCCAGATGGAAAAGCGCCTCAGCAGACCCTCATCCTCCTGTCCATCAGTCACCAAGCTCTTCACTCTAATTCTTGAGATGACAGTCCCTCCCGCTCCAGCCTGAGCCCTGCTTCTGGCCTCCCTCTTTCCGTGGCACAGCTGAGTCTCCCCCAGAGATGAGGCGGGGGAGGCACTCTGAGGCTGCTCTCCTGCCCCCCCCCCCAATCATGAAAGCACCAACCCGTGCCAGGCACCGTCACTACATTTTCTCCTTTAGTCCTGGCAACAGCCCTTCCACATACAATGGCCCTTGTACAGGTAAGCAAGCCAAGGCTCGGACAGACTTGCTGACTTGTCCAGGCCCCCCAGCTGGCTGCTGCTGCTGGTCACCGACATACGAGGAGCATTTCCGCTGAGACCAGGCACCGTGCTAAGGCATCAACCTTTGGAGGTGCTATTTTGATTCCCATTTTATCAATGAGCAGCACAGAGAGGTTAAATAACTTGCCCAAGGTCACACGGCTAGTAAGAGGCAAAGCTGGTGTTTGAACCCAGACGGTCTAACTCCGGAGTCCATGCTCCGAGCCACCACCCTGTATTGCTTCTTATACGGACATTTACTGGCTCTGCCGAGCAAGCTGGGGTCACAACCCACATTCGTCATAATTTCCACCCACCTTAGCTACCCTGGCGTTTTTATCAGTGCAGAATGAGAAATAATGAGCTTTTGTTTTGTTATGTTTTTAGAAGTTTATGCGATGCTTTTAGTCATATAAAACCCCCCCGCTTTGTTGAATGACAGGATTTCAAACCACAAGACACCACACACACACACACACACACACACACACACGGCTTACACATCTATAACCAATGTTTCTGAACTTAAACTCTGCCCTGTGTCACTGCCTCACTCTTTGCTGTCCTTAGTTTTAGCCCACCAAGGATCTTTTAGTAGTTCTGACCCAGCCCGCTACCTAAATCTTGCAACTGTTTATGAGCCGGACATGTAAGCAAGCAATACTATTAAAAAAAAAACAAAAAACAAAAAACAGGGGTGCCTGTATGGCTCAGTCAGTTAAGCATCCAACTTTTGATTTCTGCTAAGGTCATGATCTCAGTGAGATCAAGCCCTGCTTGAGATTCTCTCTCTCTGACCCTCCCCCCAACTCGCTCTCACACTCTCAATAAATAAATAAATAAATAAATAAATAAATAAATAAAATCTTAAAAAAGGAAGGTGGGGGAAAGCGCGTAGCAAGTGTACTTATTTAATACTTAGGGTGCACAGGGACCAAGTACTTGACTTTCACTCATTTAATCCTCACATCCACCTTATAAAGTGGGTGCTACCCTCACCCCCATTTTACAAATAAAGGAAGGAGGGGTAAGAGAAAAGTAGAAGTGATCTGCATCTTCAGCCATCTGATTTATAGGAAGGGCCAGACCAGGGCACGCAGTTCCTCACCGCACATTTCCTAAGCCACGCCAGACCCACTGCTGAGCACGGAGACCAGAGAAATGAGACTCCGTCCTACCCCTTGAGAATCTCACACTCCCAACAGGTGGTCAGCCTGCTATACAACAGCACCCCCACTCAGTCCACATCTCCTAGAAAGACTGAGTCAGAAAAAGCAGTGTCCAGTTTGGTCGCTTGGCTGGGAAGTTTCCTCCAAGCAGGAAGGAAAAAAGCAGCAACATTAAAAATTAATGTTTACCTAAAATGTTCTATTTCCCAGCTGTTAATTATTAAATTGCACTGGCAATTAATTCCAACATGTCGAGGACCCTGCCTAAGAAGCCGGAAGAGAGCATGAAAACGCAGGCAGTGGGGGGCAGGGGAGGAGGGAGGATGAGCACCAGATCAGTTCCCAGATGAACCTGGGCATCAGGGAGCCTTAGTCAGCAAAACCCATCAACACCACTCCTCCCCAAAAGAAGTGACACAGGGCAGGCCACCCATGTGTCAGAGCTAGTCTTTACTACCGTCAATTGCCAGAGGTATCCAAGATCATAAGGACGGGGCTCTAGAAAGAGGGAAAAGGGCCAGGACAGACTCAGAGCCGCCCCAATGCCTTTCTTCCGAGCACAGCACCCGCTGTGTCACTGTATCTGGCTCCACGATAGGCTTCCCGCGAAATAGACACACACCTACCTAGGCTGGGGGTAGCTTTTTAATTTTACATACTTATTAATCGGTGCCTTGTGGTCCCCAGGTGTTGGGTGGAGGAAGTGTTCAAAGTGAGTATTTTAAATATGAATATGATAAAACGTGAATCAGGAAGCAGGTCAGAAAAGCTGCTGAGGTGCACACAGTGTGCTATTTACTGAACTCCCTCTGAGCGTCAGCACACCGGAGCACGCGTGATCCAGTGAAGAGCGGGTGGCGACAGGAGCAAGAGTGAGGGCTACGGAAAGAATTTTGGAGGCAGGATCGACAGAGCGCATCCATCAGTGAGACTGTGGGGTGGGTGGGGGGAAAGGATGAACCGGAGAGATAGCCCAGACTCTGGCCTGAGGTAGCGAGGGAGAACAAGGGCAGCGTGGAATACGGAAACCCAGCTGGGTCATGGAAGACGTGTGTGCAGAGCTAGCCAGCAGGCAGTCCGACCCAAGCCGGGGCTCAGGGAGCCGTCGGGCTGAAGATGGGAAGGTGGGAGTCATCCCCACACCATGGTGTCTGAGGCCATGGAAATGGATGAGAGCCTCCAGAAACTCTAACATATGGCTGGGAAGTAGGAGAGGCGCTTATGAAGGGGACTGAGAAGGGAGAATGGAGAAGTAGGAGGGAAATCCAGAGGATGTTTTGTCACAGAAGCTAAGAGATCCTGATGTGGAAATGTGTGCACAATATGCTGTAATATGTTGTAGGTCATTTCCAGGAAGGGATACATTTATTTGTTCATGCAGTCGTTCATCTAATCATTCATTTATGCAGGAAATAGACTCTGGTGCCCTGGGAAGGCTTAAATTTGGTGCCTCTTCAAACTGATATTCTTTACGTATCTGCTCGCCATCTGTTTGGAGAAGCTGACTCATGCATGGGGGAGAGCAGAGTCACAGCTGGTGGCCACAATACGTCTCTCCCTTTGTCTCTAGTAACTCAGCCTTCACCCTGCTTCCCAAGTCCCAAGCTTCACCCTATCCCAAGCGAGGACAAATGCCCTTAGGAGGGGACTTGGTGACTATCTCTGGCTCACCTAGCCCACCTAGCCTAGTGGAGGTCCTCCCCTCCCCAACACACACACCTAATGGGCTTAACAAAGCGCCAAAGCTTCCATATTTTTGCATTTCCAGTAAGGGTTTAGCATCTCACGAATGGCTACCCTGTTGCCCAGCTCACTGACACACGCATAGGCCAATATTCCCATCCTTCCACACGAGTGTGATCCCCTACCCCCAAACAAAAAGAGAGCTTGCCAGAACATACTGAGTCTTTCCAGAGCTCATACCCCTCCCACTGGAATAGTTTCTCCTGATGCTCCGCCTCTACGGCTCTTCCTGACCCCTCTCAGACTTCCCTCCCTTCACCAGCCTTCTAAATGTGGATATGATAGGCTGTGGCTCTAGTCCTCTGCCTGGGCGGCCCCCTCCAGGCCTACGGGTCCCACTGCACCCACATGGGTACCACACATCTTCCACTGAGTTCACGGGCACTTCCATAGACTGAATGTCTGTCCCCCCGAAATTCATACATTGAAACCCAATCCTGAGTGTGATGATATCTGTAGGTGGGGCCTTTGGGGGCAAGTGCTTAGTTCATGAGGGTGGAGCCCTCATGAATGGGATCAGTGCCCTTTTGAAAGAGCTCCCAGAGAGCCCCCTCTCCCCTTCCGCCCGCCGTGTGGGGACAGATAAGATGGCTGTCTATGACCCAGGAGGTGGGCTCTCACCAATCACCAAAGCTGCTGGTGTTTTGATCTTGGACTTGCCAGCCTCCAGAACTGTGAGAAATAAGTATCTGTTGTTTATAGCAGCCTGAACAGACCAAGACAGGCACTCTGTGAATCTCAGTCCTGATGCCCACTGGGTCCCTGAATCCACAAACATCCCTAGTAGAGCTCATCACCTACCCCCACTCCTAGACCTGGCTGTCTTCCTCCTATCCTGGTCAACGACACCACCACCCACCAGTCTCTCCGGCCTCACGGTCATCGTGGACAGCTCCTGCCTCATTACTCCCCCCAGACACGTTGTCTTAAGTCAGATTGACCACACCTCCTTCCCAATTTTGGCAAATACTCCCTGCACATCTTCTGCCCCTAGAAGACTATGAACTTCTTGAATATAACCATATTGTTCGATTTCTCCTATCTCCTATGCCTAACACGACATCTAGCACAGTATTTTTGACCACGGCTCACAGTGAGAAACGCATTTTACATCACAACCGAATACATACACGTACATACAGAAACAATAATCCAACCACACAATACTTAACCTTACTTCTCCTTCATGTGATGCCCTCTGACTTTCTATTTGATTTCAATTTTTTTTTAAAGCTCATTTTGACCCATTAAGCTAGTTTCTGAACATATTAATGGACAGTGACTGGTAGTCTGAAAAATACCAGCTGGCTCATCATAGGTATTTGATAAACATTTGTTGTACGATCACTTAATGAATGTATGCATGGCCTCATGAGATCTTTTCATCATCACTGCCAATTTTCAGATGAGTTAGCTGAATCTCAGAATTTTCTTGCTCTGACTCTAGATGCTGCCGCTTTCCACAATACCCCGGGGGCCAGTGAGACCCCTTCCAGCCCCAGTATTTTGTGATACAGCCGCTGTCAGAATCACTGTGTTGTTGCTCAAGCATCTGAGTTGAAACATCCAGACTCTCAGTTTCTCATCTAATCTGCGGTGAAAAGTCTGATGGTTGCTAAGACTCCGTATCCCCAATCAGGAATGTTCTCAATGACACTGTTCCCTCCACAGCCCCCGCCACCCCCGATGGGAGCTAATGGATTTATTGAACCCCGGGGAAGGGGGTGGGGGACGCTTCTTTTCTTACTGTGGGTTAAACCAGTCTGATAGCGGAAGCTCTTCGTTGTTTTCCTCTCCTTGTTCATTTTCATCATCTATGTCTTCCTCTTCTTGGTAAATGCGGGTCCTACATACAAAGGGAAAGCAAGCTGAGTGAGGCAGGGAGGCCAATCTATGGCACGGGGTCAGCTGGTGACCGTGAACACAGATTCCCAGATGGAGAACGTGTGCAGTGAGGGGTGTCTGGAGAAAGCTTCACGATACGATATGTTTATTCATAAGCACATAATTTTGGTGAAAAGGCTCAGTGCTCACCTTTCTCGTTTTCCTTCCAGGTCAGCACAGTCAGCAAGTTAGTGACCCAGAACCCTCAGGTTATTTCAGGGGGCCAGGGAACTTGCTGGACTAATGAACAGCTAACTGAATTAGCTGCAATCATCTTTCCCACAGCCTAAACTTCAGCCGAAGCCCCACTCACCCCCAAGTTAAATGGAAAAACTAAACCAAACAAAACCCCCAAACTTAAATATCCTAGTCCCAACCATGAAATAGATTCCTTGTATGACTTCAATAGGGCCAGAAAGGCGAGTGACGGAGGTCGTGACCGTGAAACCACTTTATTCGGACTGTCTATAAGCGTTGGGTGGATGAACAAACACAGAGGGTCATCCCATCAACTTACCCGTTGTTAAACCAGCTTGGAAACCACCAGCCCTTCTGAATTCTGCTGTCACCAACTTCTGGGTTTCTAAGAAATGAAAAAGATGACATTTTTAGAAAATGAGGCAGTCCCAAACTGGGGGGCCGGGGGTGGGGGAAGGGAGGGTTTCCAAACTCTTTTTATGGCAGAAAATCACTTAAATTTCTTTAAAAAAAAAAAAAAAGCCAGTTCATAAAACAGACAGAAGTGAAGCTACCCTATACTGGATGATGTACGGGGATGCTGAATCACTCTACTGTACACCTGAAACTCATATAACGTTGCATATTAACTAACTGGAATTAAAGTAAAAACTTAAAAAAAAAAAAAAAAAGAAGAAGAAGAAGTGAAGCTGCTCTAGCCAGATGGGGGAAGATGTACCTATCCCTGCCCGGACCTCTCCTCCCTCGGGCAGCCCCTGGCACTCAGCTCATTCAGGGGGCCCTGGCAGGGACAGAGGAAAGAAGAGAGGGTGACAAGGTGGGGAGCACTGATACGTAAGCCTGAGTCAGGGATATGCCACTTACTGGTAGTATGACCGTGATGGGAACTTTTCCCTCTCTGAATCTTGGTTTTCTCCTCTGAAAAGTCAGATATATAATAATGATGGTGACAATCATAATGATAATAAATCTACCATGAAGGTGGCTTTGAAAAGTAAATGAATTAGCATGCATCAGAAAGTTTTATAGAAGTTGAAAATTACGGGAACAAGGTGTAAATCTTAATTTAAAAAAACAAAACAAAAAAGCATATTTTTCCACAAATGATCTCTTTTGCTAAACTAGAATTCAGGTTGCTACAAAGGTCAGCAGGGACAGCCTCAGGAAATCTGAGGGTCTCTGAACCAGAAGCTCAGGAAACTGTCATCAGAAGCCACCCTCGCCACCCACGTGGGGAAATTTCCATCCTCTCTCATTGTGAGTCTCTCCAAGGCGGGGGCTTTCTGGAGGAGGGAGAAGAGCGGGAAGCCAGGGGCTGCAGTGTTCTGTGGTTGGACAAATAAGGTGGTGAGGCATGAACAGGCATAATAATAGGAAGAAACCTATTTTAAAGCCCATCTACTTTCAGGAGGTATTTCAGATGGTTGATAACTTAGGTGTGGTTACCATACACAGGGAGACCACATAAGACTTAAATAAACAAAAGGGAACGAAGAAAAATATTTCTTTAGTCACCCAGGGAGGTGTTTTCATATGATCTTGGTCATTCCAGCTACTCATGAGAATAAAGGTTTTTACCTTTATGTTCATTTTATAGCTGAGAAGTTGGCCACATGGGTTTGGGCAAAGGGCCAAGATCCCACAGAATGTAAGCATAAAAGCCAGGATTTAACACCAGGGAAGGAGTAATATCAGAAATGAAAGCTGAGGAAAGTACAAGCAGTTAGGCGCAAGACCTTACCCTGAGCCTCCTGGCAACCAAGCCAAAGATAGAAAAATGAAGGCTTACATAGTTCTCACCGCCTTTGGTAATAATAACAATAAAGATTAGTTCATCAGGAGACCCTGACTTTTTTTCCTGATCCTCTGTCTCACAGGAATTTCTTGCAGGGGGCTTTATATAACATACACTGGACAGCATAATGGAGAATACCTGTCCTGATTCTTTTCATCAGCAAGGCAGAATGTTCTCAAAAGGATACCACTTAAAGAAACCCTTGATGAGAAGCAAGGGCAAAATATAAGTCACGGCTGGATAAAGACCAGTCTAGGGAAAGGGAAGCGGGTAGTCGAGATCCCTGGGAAACCACCCTTCCCCCGCCGCCCTTGACGGGGCCTCCACCACCCACTGCCATGCTAAAAATAGACTGTAGGGGGTGCCAGACTGGACACGGGAGACATCCCCTAGATCTCTAAAATTCAAAGCACTTACTTTGAGTGATATATCCACAAGAAAGAGCCTTCTGGGCTGAAAGCAAATGAGAAATAAAAACATATCATGTTACTTTTAACTCTGAGAAAGCTTTTTTGCAACCATTATCAGCGAAGCCCTGGGCTGAGCTGAAAGCCTGGGTTTTGACTACTCCTAGGTTGCTACTTTCCTTTTGAGATATAGCCCATGGTATCAAGGGACTGGGAATTTTCACATGTAGTCACGTCAGGGTTATTCAGAACAAGAGGTGGGAAAGAGATCACTGGAGAATCTCAAACCTTAATTAAAAAAAAAAAAATTAACAACAGCTCTCCATTGTCTAGGGGTGGTTTCACTGAGGGCGGGGCCCCACAGATGGGTTCCCTTCTACCGCCTACTCAGGGACATCCCAGCCATCCTGCGCCCAGGAGTTATCTTCCCATAGAAAACAAAGTGATGGCCGCAGAACCTTCTATAGAGCAGTCTCAGAGGACATTTCTTAAGCTCATGAAGGTGGTGAGATGGTCTGGAGGCATCTCCAAGGCTGGGCCAGTGAATATATGACTCCTCCATTGAGCCGTCTCTACTCATTCCGTTGATACTTGCTGAGCATGATTACATGTCAAGGGCCAGGCACACAGTATTAGCAAAGACAGACACAGGTCCTATGTCTATGTATCTTTGTGGTTCACTCAGTCTAGCAGGGAAGGCAGACCCTATTCCCATAATCACCCAGTGACATGACCTCGAACTCCAAGAAGGGCTATTAAAAAAAAAAAAAAAAAAAAAAAAAAAGCAGGCGCCTGGGTGGCTCAGTCAGTTAGGCGACTGCCTTCGGCCCGGGTCATGATCCTGGAGTCCCGGGATCGAGTCCCGCATCGGGCTCCCTGCTCGGCGGGGAGTTGGCTTCTCCCTCTGACCCTCCTCCCTCTCGTGCTCTCTATCTCTCATTCTCTCTCTCTCAAATAAATAAATAAAATCTTAAAAAAAAAAAAGCAGAAGTAACTTGTTTCAGACTCTGCCGATGCCCCTTAGCCTCTTATCCGCCCCCCGCCCCGGCCTTCTCCCCTTGTTGGGGGTGCACATCTCTTTGTAGGAATAAAATACATGCTCTCTCACGGCCTATGGTTTCTCCTCTGAGCCCAGAACTCATGGACCACACTCTAAAATTTCTTGTTCCTCTACTGATTCTGACAATATTCATAATAGCAAATACTTGGCCAGGCACTGTTCTGAGCAAATGACATATATTAGCTCACCGAACCCTCACAACAACCCGTGAAGTAGGTTCTACTCTTCCTCACCCTACAGAGGTGGAAACTGAGGCATGGAAGCATTAGGTGATTTGCCCAAGGTCATACTGCTAGTGAGGAGCAGAGCCAGTATTTGAACCTGGGGAATCTGATTCCAGATCCTACAAGAGGTGGAAGGGGGAAGGGAATGAGGAGGAGGGCACCCATCCCTCAGATGGCCACCCGGCACTCAGGGCACCAGTTTCTAAATTCAGCTTTGCCCCCTTGTCACCTCTCTTTACTAACCTCTCCTTCTTCCCCTCCTCACCCTCCTCTCTCAGAATCCTTCCAGGTCTCAACAGTCCCAGGGATACCCACGCTGCAGGGTGTGACATTTCACACATACTCATCCTTCAAGGCATAGCTCAAATGTCATCTCTTCTGTGCCTTTCTTGATACAATCCTAGCACAGTGCCTGGCACATAGTAGGTGCTCAATAAACAGCTGCAAATCAATGCAAAAACTAGATCCTTCTCCAAGCCAAACATAATCTTAGCCTCCTTAACTCTGCCAGTTCCTTTTCTCTACCCTGATATTCTTTCTCTGCTTCTAGCATTGGTTATTTATATGCACGTCTTCCTGCCTCATCTAGATCATAACCCCTTGAGGGTAGGAGTTCTACTTGGCTCACGTTGTATTCCTAATCATTTGATGTGTTCCATTTAGTTATTTTAAAATCCTTTTTAAGCTCAGGTCTGCCCACCTGTCTCAGGTGAGTGCCCTCAGCTCACCTCAAGCCATCACGTGGCCAATTCACGAGGTGGCAAAGGATCTGCTGCCTTTACGCCTCTTGCAGACATTCAGTAGATTCCTCACATTGAAGAATGATGTGCCCGGAGTCTGGGTGCCAAACGATGGCCCCAAGGAGCAGCCAGAACCTGCTCCAGTTACTGTTCAGAGAGTGCCCAGCACTGTAAAATACCCTTTTTATGGAAGGTCGATGTCAAAATGCACACTTGGGCTTTTGGCTCCCATATTTTAATTTTGCGAACCGCCCCAAATTATGGAAGTACAACTCTGGCTCAGATTCAAAGCAGCAAGCTTAAACAATCAAGCATTCAGAGCTTGCGGGTTATCTGCACAAGCATCTCAACTCAGGGCAGGGACCTGAAGGAGTACTGGTTCTTCTGTTGGGTGTCTTCCAACTGCTAAAGCTCTTCCTTCTATTTGTCAAAACCCCTGCCCTATTCTGCCCTCTGGAGCAGATGATGATGATGATGACGATGATGATGATGATGATGATGATGGCAGTTAGCAGTTAGCGAGTGCTTATTAAGTCCCAGGCATTGCCCTAAATGTTTTATATACAGTAACTTACTTAATCCTCCCCACAACGTATCTATGAGACAGGTACTATTATCACCCATTTTTAATGAGAGGGAAACTGAGGAACACAGTCACTGCGAGAGGGAAATTGAGGAACACAGTCACTGAGTAACTTGCCCAAAGTCACAGAGGCGGTAAGTGGTGGCAGAGGACCAGTTCCAGACAGCCTAGCTCCAGATTCCAGACTTTCCTCTACCCTTGAGTACCCAAGGGATGCCAGGCTCCCTGCACTCAACTCTGAATCCTCTCATCTTAGGACTAAGTACCCCCAGTTTCCTCAATTCGAAAGCCATGGGTGTAGACCCCTTGAATTTGATCACACTCTAGCTTGTCTTGATTTTGTGAAAATGAGTTGTTCAGAATGAAACAGAATAATGGTCCAGAAGCCGTGAGATCTATGCTGTACTCTGGGGAATAATAGCTCCCATATTCTGGGGAGTCCTCCTCCTACTGATGTACTTAAAGGCACAGGTCCTTGTTTAGTAGCCAAGATGGTCCTGCTGGCTCATCAAATCTTAGAATTTAAGAATTGAAAGAATTCAAATGTTAATCCAGGCTGTCATCTTTAACTTGGGGGCTACGAAAGCACTCCACCATGAAAATAGTAGTGGTGTCAAGACAGCTCTTCCTGCCCAGAGCTGTATCGTGGACTTTTTGGATCAAGGCTGAGCTGTCCCAGTGCCTCTTAGGTCAAAGGCATCCTGAATTTTTGTAGCTGTTTGCAGAGACTTCTTTCTGTCAGGAGTCTCTCCAGCTGGAACCTCTGAGACACTGTCTTTTCCCAAAGCACAGAAACACATATATTTGCGGTGGATCCACGGATGAATCTGAAAACCCAGGAATGTTTAATTTATTTTGCTTTCCAGAGTTAAAAAGCAAAACAAAACAAAACACCGCCAAGCATTGTAGCCAGGCACAAATGAATCACCAGCCACTCGGAGTGGATTTTACAGCAAAAGTCAACAACTTTGAGTTGCTCCTTTAAACCCTGAAAGTATTTTAGAATTGCAAAAATAAGAGTGGAATTCTCATGGAATTCCTGTCTGAAATCTCTTAAGGTAATTAAGAGCTCATCATACAAATCATCTAAAGTCACATTTTGGGTTTAATATGGCCTTGCTGTTTCTGGATATAGCCTACCCAGAACGGCAAGGTTATAAAAATCAGGACATTAGGAACGTAGCAGGAAGGAAGATAATTTAGCCAGAAGGTACTTGGAAATCTAATGATTTTAAATATAGTCCAGGGCTCAGAGACACAGGAAGGGTGGAATCTCCTCTTCATTGTTCTAGTTAATCTCAATTTCAACTTCAACCTGGTGACTTGGCCAGTAACTAGGAGATTCAAGTCAAAGGTGGACACCGCGCTCCCCAATTACCTGTGGATATATTCCCAAAACACAACAATTACAGTGGAGACAACCAGCATTGACAGAATCACTTTTCCTTTGACATTCATTATTTTCTCCTGGGGAAACAAAAAAGGAGAAAGGGAAAAATAGATTAAATAAATTCAACGTGAGATATGGTTTCTAAGCAAGGCTTCCACCCTCTAAGGGGAAACATTTATAAATATTTAACTAGAGCTAAGGAGTGTGTTCTACCTTAAATTGAGCAGGCTTGCAATAGCAAATTAGGCTACCTTAATGAATTGACCTGGCTCCCCGGTGGGGAAGGATGCTAAGGCCACTTTGGCGCTCAGAGGGGAAATGTATTCACCGACCACAGGGTCCCCCGTGGACTTGGGTGGGTGAGGGCATAGCTATAAATGATTCCCATGGGCTTCAGCTGCCTTCCAACTCAGATTGTGGGTTCGGAACCATCCCTTCCCCAGCTCTGCTGCCTTTGATATATGACCACACGTCCCATCCTCAAAGGGGAAGATGACCCTGGTCCCTTAAAGTCTAGGCTCACCCACTTCTCAGCCTCACCTAACCTTTCCTCACCACGCCCATAGGCAATCAATCAATCAATCAGTCGGCACACAGTAGGTACATAAATATGTCTTGATGGCTGCATGAGTCGTGGTTTGAAGAGGGACAGGGTGCTGGATAGGGAATAACAGGTTAGGAAGTACTTTAATTTGAGTGGTCAGGGAAGGCCTCTCGCTGGGAAGGTGAGAAGAGCTTCCCAAGGGATGAAGACAGGATGCAAAAGGATGAGAAGAAGTACAAGAAAAGTCCTACATCTGGGAGCAAACAGATCTAGATTGGGACTGTGGCCGCCTCTCATAACGATGAGAAGTCTTCACTCCCAGAGAAGTGTGGATCCGGGGGCCAGCGTGGATGCACACGGAGCTGGGGAGCCCTGACCTTGGGGCAGGTCCTTGGGTCCTCATGCACAGCTCCGAAAACCTCCGAGAACCAAAAGTCTTTTTATAATTCCATTGGCCTCAGGGCCCTGAGAGGAGGCTCTCTACAATCTTTACCCCACTTAGTGAGACTGTTTAAATGTGTCTTTGCATCCACACCGAAGTATTTTATGAAGTGACGCTGCTGCACTGGGGTGTTGCCTGATACGTGATATATTATCCACACCCCAAAATTCTGAATTCCAACATATCTGGCCCTAGGGTTTCACAAAAGGGATTGTGGATCTCTAATTGAATTGGTTTCCTCATCTTTAAAATGCGGATGAAAATGGTGATGACAAGAGACAGTATCCACAAAATGCTTCTCCTTGTGCCTGGCACTGCATAAATGCTCCCCCAAAATGCTAGTTCATAAAATGCGCCATGGGGAGGCTCCAATGAGACAGCACCACGCCTGCCCGGTACTTAGCAAGCGCTCAAAACAAATGTGAAGAAAAAGAGTAAGACTGTGTTGTTAAACAACGAAGTGCAAATAAATGCAAATTAGGGACTCTAAAGGTTTCTCCATCTGTTCCCTGCCAAAGCCTGATGGAGAGCTCCTCGGAAGTGGGATGGAAGTGGGGTTTCTCTGATCGAGCCCAAGCCCGGGGCCCTGCTACCAACACCCTGTGTGTATGGAGGAGGTGACAACATGGCCACGAGCATCCAGACCTCCACCCGCTCCACCTGCTGAGGATCCCACACAAACTGTTTTCCAGGGACACCCAAACTCTCAGGGTGGAGAAGGATCACTGGCATACCTGGCAGAAGCCCAAATCAGACACACCTCCCCATTGCCTCTCCAAATATGTGTATACTTTTTTAATTCCAGAAGCTAGCATCAGAGGCAACTCTGGAAGCCCGTTGCTTTCTAGACTTACAGATGCCTTGAACCTGATAATGGCCAGTCGTCACTCTTGCTGGAAACTTGCAACCAGAAGCCGCACCAGGGAGCCAATACTGGGTCTTTAGTGAGGCACTAGAAATGGATGTATCCGTGCTTCCTGGAATCTGGGATCCAAGTCCCTGGGGGAAGGAAGGCTTGGCAGGGTGGCCAACTGATCTTTTAAGACATGTTAATTTTTCTCTCTGCACCAAAATGAGGCATTTGGCAGTCGATGTGGTCTATGGGTCCTTCTTTTAGGTTTCTGTCTCAGAATTTTCAAAACTGGGTAATTCTGAAAATTGGTGGTTGGCTCTCTTCCCCACCAAGAAGGAAATGTGGGATTGCTTTTGAATTCCTTCCTTTAAGGGGTAGAGCACAGAACTGGGCCCTGCTGAAAATTGCTGCCCTATCTCACATGGGGGAGCGTGACTCTGGGTCCCCTGGGCGCCACCCTTCGAAAGATTCAGCCAGGCCCGGTTCCACCAAATCCCCCCCACCATCTCCCAGGCCCTCTTGTCACACTTGTGATTTTTCCCCTGAAACTGTCCAACCCCGTGCGCGGGCTACCCCTGGGCTCCTCGTAGAGCACGGCCCTCACAATGGTTCCCATGTTAAGTGTCAGACGGATTTCTCCATGTGGCCCATAAATTAATTCTTCCCTACCCACCCCCATCCTGTCCAACACAGAACACACACACACACACACACACACACACACACACACACACACACCCTTCGGAGAATCTCTGGAGTTCCACCCCCCTGGGGCTAAGTCAAGGTATTCCTTCCAAACTGAAGTCCCCTCTGGAAGGAATTCTGGTGGACCGTGTTTTCTCCATCTTGTGTCAGGGGAAAAGGTGAACGTCTCAGCTGAGTAACAGAGCACTCAGAAGCTCTGGAAAAGTCATTATATCAGGAGGAATCAGGCAGAGGGAAACCAGACCTTCCCCCAGGCTAAAGAACCTCCTCTCTGCCTCTGATTCCTCCCCCAAACCCGGGGAACCCAGCCGCATCCCCCCCGAGAGGCTGACCCCTGCTAGCCTTCATTGCTTCTGGACTATTGCATTCAATCCAGAGACTCTAAAAGGCTACAGGTCAGGTAATGCCAAGTGTCGCAAACGAAAACAATGCAGGTGAGGGGGCAGGGGAGGGCACAGGAACCAACTGGGTGTTCATGACCTTGGGCAAAACCCTCTTTAGTCCTCCACATCCTCCATGGTAATGTTTAGACCCAGCATTCCGGGTGGAAACTAGGCCAGCACGAAGACTCTGGAGTCAGTGCTCCTGGACACATGCCTTGAGCAAGTACTCAGAGCCTCTATTCACACGTACAGAATGGAGCTAAACACCCTCCTCCAGGGTTCTTGAGGAAGGACTGAGGAGATGGTGTCTATGAAGCACGTTGTGCCTGGTGGTCAGCAAATACTCCACAGATGGCAGCCATCATGATGATGATGCTGTTTCACAGGCAAGTTTCTGAAATTCGTGGCTCTGAAGTAGAGCTGTGACTTTATCTGAGAGAGGAGTCTGGGTCCTCGTGGGCTGCACCACACAGAAGAGTCAGGGTGAACCCACCCCACACCCCAATCGGCAACCGTATGACAGCTCCCCACCCCCCACTGCCCCCAGCTCAGGACCCAGCTACTCAGCACGTTTGCCCCCACTGCCCGGTGCTCAAGGTGGGCAGGCAAGGAAGGGAGGTTCCTGTGTGTTGCGACACAGGTGGGCCCCAGTTGCCACACAAAGCCGGATTTGTAAACCAGGGTCATGAGTTTCTCTGGCCTCAGTCTCCCCGTCTGTGAAGCAAGTTCTGTGGACCTAACTTTCCACGACCGTCTTTCCTGACAGACCCAGGACTTGGAAGAGAAATCAAGCAGAGGGACAGAAGCCTCATTTTACGAGGGCAGCTCACTTAGACACATGGGGAGCTCCTGCTGCCATGGCCCACGGGGATTCTTTGACGTGAGGACAGAATGGCGGGAGCACCAACCAGCCTACATTGAGTGGTGGGAGCATCAACCAGCCTGCATTGAGTGGTGGGAGCATCAACCAGCCTGCATTGAGTGGTGGGAGCACCAACCAGCATGCATTGAGTGCAGAGGCAGACTTACCCAGAAGCTACTGAAACTAGTCCCCCTTGCAAGCCAGCGCCTGATCATTAGGGTGGGGAGTGGGTCAGGAATGCCCGTGTTTCCTGAGGCAAGGAGTGCTGCCCGTCTGGGGGTGGGGGGGGCCGGGAATCATTCCAGCCTTGAGGGCTGGCCTGGGGCTGCAGGTGGGGCCCAGGGACTGACCCCACTCCCTGCTCGCCCACCTGGGTCCCAGTAACAACCTGCCCCAGTTGGACCTGGTTGAGCACCCAGGAGCCTCCCACTTGGGTCCCAAGGGGAAGGACTTGATCCAGATGCTGCTCTGCACCCTGCTCAGGGGTCATGGTGATCCAAGCTTCAGAGCCACCTCGTAACCCACCCCTAACCGCTCCAGGGTCAAAGAGCTGGGTCCTCTGAGGAAGAAACAGCCAAGAGATTTACAGATGTGGCACCACCAATAGTAAGCTGTGAAGCTGGAAGAAACATTTCTAAACACTCATTAACAAAAAGCAATGTTGGTTAACCGTGCCAGAGGCCAAATGGATTCATTCTTTGTCTCTGTCGAAAATGATACTGCAGGGCACCTGGATGGCTGTTGTTAGGCGTCTGCCTTCGGCTCAGGTCATGATCCCAGGGTCCTGGGATCGAGCCCCGCATCGGGCTCCCTGCTCCGCGGGAAGCCTGCTTCTCCCTCTCCCACTCCCCCTGCTTGTGTTTCCTCTCTCGCTGTGTCTCTCTCTGTCAAATAAATAAATAAAATCTTTTAAAAAAAATGATACTACAAAATCGTTGTCAGATAAAGAGGCAATCCAAGACCATGCAGAGTATGACAGATGCATTAGGCAGCTAAGTCAGACTAACCGTCTTTATATGATTTTCACATCGTTTTATTATGATGTTGTTTCGTGGATTTAGTCCTATTTGAAATATTTGTCAGTGTTATTTGCTATGTTCTCTCTTCTCATATTCTAATCTTCACTTCCATGCTAATATAGTGTTCACAACTCTGCGTTCTTTTTCTTGAAGAGGGCTCTGAAAACGGAATAAGCTCCAGGCCCTTCAACACTTGGATGCTCCCCAACTGAACTAGGCCAGGCCCTGGGCCAAATGCTTTACCAGTAGTCTCTTAGCTGCGTCTCACAATGACCCTGTGAAGTCACTCTAGCATCATCCCCCTTTTAAAGATAGGAAAATGGAGGCTCAGAAAGGTTAAGTAACTTGCCCATTGTCACATAGCATAAAGTGGTGGAGACAGGCTTCAGGTCCAGGGAGTTGGGCTCCAGTGTCCACCCTCTTAACCACTCTTTCCTCAATAAGCCTGAAGGCTTATCCATGGACTAACCACCTGGGGCTCTCTGACACATCCGCTCATTTTGTCTCTCTTGATTATCATATGATAATCACTTGGGTCACAACTGACCCGGAGCCAGCCACCCACAGGCTGGACTCACTGAGGGCGCTGGCTTCTCCTTGGACCAGCTGGTGAGCATTGGCTCCATTTCCAGGCGCCTCCCCCGTGTGCCCAGTGGGGCCTTCCTCACCCGCTCCACCTCGTTCACCCCTCAGCGTGGCCAGAGTAGTGGCTTCTAGCTGAGGAAACAGCCTGAACACAGACTGAGGTCACCGCGCTCACCCAGAGGGGGAATGTGAAAAGCAGACCCCCTGCCTCCCAGGCCCAGCTCTTGGAAGATGATGGTGCCCAGGGGGGTGAGGAGGGGAGAACCACTTGATCCAAAAACCCCGCTGCAATGGTGGGTGCTCCAGGGAAACACTCCCCATTGGAAGAAATATGAGACAATCTGGGGGGGTTAAAAAAAAAAAAAGCATAGGGAAGGCTGTTTCCAGTGATGTTTTCCATTATGAGGCTCAGACGAAAGGAAGAGTCAGGTCTCAGACTAAACACAGGACTCATTGTCGCTCCAGCCCTCACAAACGGAACAACCTGTTCTCCAAAGTCCCTCTTGTGGTGCCTTCTCCTGAATCCCCTTGAGGAACTCTAAAGCCTGGATCCAGCCAGCTTTTCCTTGCCGCCCGGCCCAGGAGTCTCCTGAGAGAAACACGGTAAATGGAGTGTCTGCACTGCCGTGGGAGGGCTCCGGGTCCACGCACGACACCAGCCCCCGGCCCTCCGGCCTCCACTAGAGAGAAAAGCCCAGGCCGCAGCCACGCCGGCCGCAGCCACGCCGGCCGCAGCCCCCGCGAGGTCCTGCCAGGGGCAGCAAAAGAAAGCAGAAGTTACAGTGAAGTCCCTGAGCCAGCATCCCACCGGCTCCTGCTTCTAGAGCCGGGAGAGGACTTCGTCTTCTTCCGGGACTACTGGGGGCACCGGCAAGAGGCTGAGGGGAGAGCGGGTTTCCTCCCCCAGGTGGGTCCATGCCGAAGCCTGCTCACAACTCCCCCAGTGACCCCACAAGGCAGAAGTCAGTCATTTCAACATTTCACATACCTCATCGTCTGCTTCTCTCCCCGCAGAGTAAAAGGCAAAACAACAAAGTTCTATTAAGCTCCGCTCTGCAGAAGGAGGCAGGGCTGGGAGGAAGGGAAGGTGCTGTGCTGCCTTCCAACTCCTGTCAAAAGAATAAACAGCTGTTTCAGGAAGAGGGGGGTAGACAGATCCCACAGCAGCCAAGGGCTTTGTTCCTTGTTGGCCCCGGGAAATGGGCTGTTTATCAGGCCTTGACTCAGAGCTACATGCCAAGGCAGAGATGTTTCTCTTTGGGCCCACGAGTGGCCAGGCCTCCCTCACGCAGCGGAACTACAGGCCCAAACTAGGCCTGGTGCTGGAGGAGAGAAGACCACCACCCTTGAGAGGGACCCATAGGCCACCCACGTCACCCACTCCTTGGCAAAAATGGGAACTGTTCTGAGACCAAACGTCCCCCAGTGACTACTATAAGGAACAGCCAGTGGAGAGGTAAAAAACAAAACAAAACAAAACAAAACAAAACAAAAAAACGCAGGGGTGGGTGGGCAAAGGGGAGAGTCCTCAAGACTTCTGTCGAAATGCTACCTAGATGGCCCTCAAAGTTAAGCCTTTCCTCCACATCTTTTGAACTTCGGAAGTTATTTTGTTTGAACGTTATTTTTATAGAATGTTATGAGATCTCCCGCATCGAAAACCGAGCTATAAGAACTTTAAAAGGTCACCGAGGCCCAACCCTGCTCTCTGGCTGAATAATGCTTAACCCTTCCCACACCCACCTCCTGCTCCTAAAATAGAATTTTCCAGCTGGAAAGGACCTTAGAGCAGTGGATTTTCAAACGTTGAAACAACTAAAACTTTTATTTAAAAAAAAAAAAAAACCCACAGGAAGTCATTCTCAGAACCCCACTATACAAAAGAGAGCACACAGAGTGCTTTGGCTGAGGCAGGGAAATGAAGCTCAAAGCCCCCCCCCCCCCCCCCGGAACCCCCCCCCACCCTGGTGCCAGCCCTCCCAAGGGGCCCCACATGCCTCATGGGAGGACATTCTGGAAACCCCAGACTTGGGAGAGGGGACCAAAGTCCAGGAGCCCCGTCAGGGGATGCCTAATCCAGCCTCTTACTGCTGTTCTGAACAAAATTTCACACCCCCTCCTCTGGGGGCATGAGCTGGTTGGCTACAGTGTTTTGGGTCTGGAAGTCCCGACAACGTGCTTAAATCTAGGAAAGCTGAACAAAGGTGTGCCTTGCAACCCAGTCATCGTGCTCTAGATCTGGACGCAAAAGAAAACGCCCGTAAGCTCACCAAGAGACACAGACCAGAACGTTCATAGCACAGCCAAAACTGTAAACAACCCCAAAGCCCATCCTCAGAGCAGCTGAGTCCTGTGCTGGAGTGTGTGATTCCACACACAACAACGAGACTGAGCCAGCTATCAACAGGATGACTCTCGCACACGTAATGCTGAGAGAAAGAAGCCCTGGGTGAGTCCGTTTATTTAAAGTTCCAAAACAGGCAAAACCAATCTGTGGTGCTAGAAGTTAGGATGCGGGTGGCTGAGACTCGAAGGGGCCCAGAGGAGTTCCCGTGGGGCTGGTCCCGTTGCTTCCTAGGCTGGGTAATGGTTACCCAGGTGTGTCCACTTTCTGAAAATTTGTCTCGAATGTGCCTTTTCCATGCGAGTTTTAAGAACAAGAGTGAACAGAAAACTTTCTTCTGAAAGCTGCCTCCTCTTGGGCATTGTCTTCCCCTGCCCCTGGCTTGAGGGCCAGAGGACCATAGGCAGGCCCTACTTTTTCCTTCTTTTGGGTTCCCTGCCCCAATACCAAGCACCACTCTCAAAACAAAGGAGTACACACTCTGGCCTCGGGCCGTGTAGCTGTGCTGATCGAAGAAGGCCAAAGGCCATCCAGGGAAGAGCTTGGACCGGGCCTGGCCAGGCTGCCTCACCTCATCATTCGTGGTCACCAGGGCCCGTCCAGTCCTGGCCGCCCATGGATCTCTGAGCTAGCAACCAGCGTGCAGTACCTGTCCACTGGCCATACCTCGAGGCAGAGGACTGCAGGGCCTCAGAGTTATGGCCAAGGTGGCTGCAGCCCAGGTGTGGGAAGGCCTGGCCTTGCATCCAAGACCACTTCTGGCTGGGAAAAATGAAGGTCAAGATCCCACCCTGATTACCTCTGCAGAGGTGTGAGGATTAAGTGTCTGTGACGAAGAACCCTACAGACCAAATGTTTGCGGGCTGTCAGTGTTTGTTTCATCCGAAACTTGTTTAGGGCAGTCACAAAAGACATTCTTGCTTGTGAGTGACAGAGCAAATTGGGTTACATGAACTACATTCTCCTTCAACTTTGCTTAAGTGTCACCTCGTTGGGGAGAAATTCCTGGATTTAGAATGACTTTCTTTTTGTAGGCTCCTTATCTTTTTTTTTTTTTTAAGATTTTATTTATTTATTTGACAGAGAGAGCGAGCACAAGCAGGGGGAGCTGCAGAGGGATAAGGAGAAGAGAAGCAGACTCCCCACTGAGCAGGGAGCCTGATGTGGGCTCGATCCCAGGACCCTGGAATCATGACCCGAGCTGAAGGCAGACGCGACTGAGCCACCCAGGCGCCCCCTTATTTATCTCTTAAATATCTTTCTTCTACCAGAATGTCAACTCTATGAGCAAATACTTTCACATGTCTTGTACCAAAGTAAAACATCAGCTGATGTTCCACGCATCTTTGAAGGCTACAACGCATGCCTAGCGCAGTACTTGGCACCTGCGTGTTTGATAAACGTTAACTATTCAAAAATGGATGGTAATGATAAGAGCCATACTAACAGTGAGCTGTGGAATGAAGGGAGTGAGGCAGAGATAGTGTAGTCCATGCTGCTCCAGGTGTGGACCCTGCAGCGTCCAGTGTGGGCCCAGGGTGAGTGTCTGCACGAGGAGTCCGGTGATGCGGACGCTCGCTGGCATTTGCAAGCTCTGCTCTGGGCTGGTGCCCAGGTTTCTGGGTGAAGTAGCACAGTGGAATAGTATCGCTGCTACTGAAGAATGCAGTGTAAGGGCTGGGAGTGGGGGGAGTTGGTGAGTTCCGTCCTAGATGCGTTGAGTTCGAAGAACCTGCTGGAGCCAGCTCAGCAGTGGCGTCCTAGAGGGAGCGAGGCCCGGAGGAGTCCAGTTTGGGAGTTGCCAGCATGCAGGCAAGAGCGGGCAGGTCTGCTGGGTGCTAAGGCAGAGAAGCATAGAGGGCAAAGTCCCTAACAGGCACCGCCCTGAAACGAGGGGGGCACCACTAAGGCAGCAGGGGGTGAGGAGCCAGGAACTAAAGGAATCACGACAGCCGGAGAGGACTTTGTGCAGCCAAGACACCTGTGTGAGGGCGGAGAGCAGAGTCTGGTGAGGCCCTCTGGATCCCTCTGGATTCCCAGCTGGGGGGCCATGCTCTCATCTGGCCCCCTCGGGGCCCCCTGGCCACTGCAAGAGAGAAGGCCACACACCTGTGCCTGGGCAAGGTTGCTGCCATCTTGAGAACTGCAAGGAGTGCCAGGCGTGGAGGTGCGGCAGCCAACAGAGGTTCTGGTCCTGGCTCTGCGTCCCACACTGCAGGCAACTCCCTGCATGTGCGGGGTTGTTTCTCACCCTTCCCCGCCTTCTTCCCACAACCCTCCACCACCTGGCAGATGAAAAGCTTGGGCTAGTGTCTCCTGCTCTGCACTGCATCCCAGCTCTGGGGGGTTGCAGCGCCCCTCCAGCCCAGCCACAGACTCTGGCTGCAGACCCCTGCAGAGGAGCGGCTGGGATTTTCAGAGCCCTAGGCCATGATAAGGCTCCCAAGACCAGACACAGAAGGGGAGGCCCCAGCTTCTGGCTGGAGGAAGGGCATTCTGGGTGGGGTGGGGTGGGGCCACAGAGCCAACAGGTGTGCCTAATCCAAGGCTTTATCTGGCTGAGATCAGAACTGCTGAGAGGCAAGTTCCAAGCAGCCTTCTCCTCCCTCAGCCACGGTGGGAGGCCCTGGAACCAGCAAGGGAGCCTTACATGGGGAGAGAAGACTGGCCTCTGCCTGGGTCCTGTTCTCCCTCCCAGAGGCAGAGCCCGTCTCTCAAGGGTCCGGCTCCCACTCCAAGCCTCATTGCCCCTGTGTGTTCCCCTGGCTGGCTAACGTCTGCCAGGTGACATGAGAGCAATAAACAAGTCACTCTCGTCCGCAGGAGTTCAAGTCCCTCTGTCAACGCTCCCAGTGTCTCGCTAGCCCAGCCCTACCTCCCAGAGGTTTTCACCCATTTACAGCATCCACGCCAGACAGCTTCTGCTTGAAGGCTTCTAGTGATGGGGAACTCTGTTTCTAGACTTTTCTTTTTTTAAGATTCTATTTACTTATTTGAGAGAGAGAGAGAGAGCACGCGTGCAGAAGCAGGGGAGAGGCGCAGAGGGAGAAGCGGGCTCCCCGCTGAGCAGGGAACCCCACACTGGGCTCAATCCCAAGACCCCGAGATCATGACCTGAGCTGAAGGCAGACGCTTAACCGACGGAGTCACCCAGGTGTCCCATCTCTAGACTTTTCTGATGGTTTAAGGCACATCTTTTCAGTATGGAACTGATTTCTGATCTCTGCTTCCTAGAACGTTATTACTATCGATGAAGGCTACCATTCATTTACATACACCATTTCATTTGATCCTTACTCTGATCAGAGACGATGTTCTCCATTTCCCAGGCAGGGAACCGAGGCTCAGAGGTTAAGTATCATGGACAAGATCACTCGAGCTCCAATAAGCTCTCCGTGTCCACGGACAAGATCACTCGACCTCCAATAAGCTCTCCGTGTCCACGGACAAGATCACTCGACCTCCAATAAGCTCTCCGTGTCCACGGACAAGATCACTCGAGCTCCAATAAGCTCTCCGCGTCCACAGAGCTGTGCCTTCCCCATTGAACCTGACAGCTCCTCGGAGATAGGGCCCCAGACTCTTTCCTCTGCAAGTAAAACACCATAGTCCCTGACATACTTCAGCAAAGCCATGCCCACCAGTGTTTATTCCAGCAATACACATATGGAGGGCATTTCCTCAGTACCGGGGCCTGTGCTGGGACAGGGCCACACACAGCCTGAATCAGACCCCCTGCCTGCACTTTTCAAGCCCACATCCAGTGAGAGGGACGCGTGCACCTACAAATGCCAAATGCTGTTTACTGACGTCAGTTCCTGCTCCTGCCGTCAGGCTACCCGGGCTGGCCTTGGCACAGAGCCGGGCCGTCTGTGCACGTGCCCACTGGCAGAAAGAAGTCAGCACTCCTCTCTCCCTTGGGGTCTGTCTCCTGTTCCTTCGTTTTTTACCATCCTCCTGACTCTGTTACTTGTGTTTTGCCTTTCTACAGTCTTTGCCTTTGCCTGGTGTCATCAGTAAGAAAGGCCCTATAAAATCAGGGTGACCATGCAAACTGCTTTCCCTAGGTCAATTCTGGTTTACGTGTGTTGTGGGGCAGTTAACAGTTTATGTTCTAGAGTCCTCTTTCACTTTCAAAGGTGTGCCAGTCTGGAGAGTAAATCATAGGGTCACTCTATGTAGAAACGGTTCCATAAAATAAAGGGAGTTCGATGAAGGCCTCTTCAAGATCCCTTCCAGCTAGAATCCAGGGCTTGTGTTTACCACCTGCGGGTCCCTTAGGATCTCCCTCTCCGGCGTCCAGAGTCTCTCCTACAACTGCTCAGAGGTAGTGCAAGCCCAGCCCCTCCAGATGCGTTTCTGCTCCACTGCTACCCTCCACCTGTCCCCCTTAGGACCTTGGCTGGGCGTATCTCTGCTCTCCCTGCTTCCTCTGTGCCGGCTAGGAGGTATTCAAAGGCTAAGAATTTACTGGAAAAAGGGCACCTGAGTGGCTCAGTCAGTTAAGCATCTGCCTTTGGCTCAGGTCATGATCTCAGGGTCCTGGGATGGAGCCCCACATCCAGTTCCCTGCTCAATGGGGAGCCTGCTTCTCCCTCTCCCTCTGCCTCTCCTCTGCTGGTTCTCTCTCTCTCTCTCATGCTCACTCTCCCTCTCTCTCTCAAATAAATAAATAAAATCTTCTAAAAGAATTTTTTACTGGAAAATCCTGAGGTTGTCTTGTTCCCCCCCCCACTAGGTTTTCCTACATCTCTCGTAATAAATTGACTCTTGTAATAACCTGACAACAAATTGACTTCCAAGAACTAATCTCTAAAGATGAGGTTCCAGGAATCCTAGCCGTAAGTTAAAACAAAACAAAACAAAACACCTCTTAATTGAGATTCACAATGGAGATGGCTTTAATTCTTTTCCTGTTCTTGGAACGAGACAGGCCTGGATTCAAACCCCAGTCCCACCTACTTTCTTGCTGTTCCGACCCTGGATAACTAAGTCACTCCACACCTGTGAGCCTCAGTTTACTCATCCATAAAGCAGGGATGATAATTTCTTATTCCTTGAGCTGTTGAAAGGATGAACAATAACATCTGTAAAGCTCCCAGTCCCTTGCAGGTACTCAGGAAAAAGGACCTGGCATGATTAGCACGGGTGTCTGAGAGACAAGCACTGTTCCGCCACATCTCAGTGGCAGGACAGCATGGCACAGAGCTTACAGCCTGGCTTGGAGTCAGACAGGTCTGGCATGGACTAAATGCGTGACCTTGGGCAAATCACGTGAGCTTTCTGAGACTTGGTTTCTCTCCGCTGTAAAATGAGAGTAACAACGCCTTTCTCTTCAACCCTGGTGAATGAGAGGGTGCACATAAAGTGCTTGGCACAGGGCCTGATGCTGGAACAAGTGCCCAATGGCAGCTACTTAATTCCTAATAATGATTATTCCAGAACTCTCCACCTCACAGGCTCCAGCATCACCTGCTCTGTGTTCCCAGTAAGTCCGCCATGTTCCTGTGTCCTAAAAACAAACAGCCCGTCCTTTGGATGGGGCATTTTCAAATCCTCCCACCTGCTGGAGCCTCCCTAGCCCGTGAGTCAGGGTGAGTTCTGCTTTCTACAGGCAGAGGAATCTGGGGACTTGCCCAAGGTGACTCAACTTGGACTGGAAGCTGGGTTTGGGTGGAGCCAAGAGTTTCTCCAACCTGCTTCTGGTCCATAGGAAGTCTGAAAGTCACCGATTCAGTCAAAGTTGAAAGGACTGACGTATTCCCTGGCTTGTTCATTCATTAAGTAAGCATTGATTAAGTGTCAATATTGGCACCTGTCATGTGCCAGGCACTGCTCAGCCCACTAAGTCTATAAAGATTAGCCAACATGACCTTGCTCTCATGGAGCTCTGGTGAGAAGTTGAGCCCAGAATCCAACTATCACGCCACCAAATGCATTCCGTGATTGAGGTGAATGTCCTGAGACAGAAAAAGACAAAGGAGCCCCGCCAATGTTCAGTCACTCCCTTACTCTGAGCTCCACGGATTTCCGGAGGAATCGGACAACAGTCTCACGTGCCACTTGCCCGTGTGGCTGCAGGAACATCCTTACTACCCAAGGTCACTCTACCCTCAAGCATGCCCCCCATCTTCTGAGCTGCTGCATTTTATAGACGAGAACACTGAGGCCCCGAGGAAGGCAAATGACTGATCCAGGGCCACCTGGCAATGACATGAGGAGACCAGGACTGCTACCCAGGTGTCTGGCATCTCTCCAGGATGAGATGCCTCTAAACCACAGCACAGGAAATCGAAGGGCTCAGGGAGGGGCTGGAGGCTGCGGTCAACAGTCTTCTTCCCAAGTTTCCTTATTTGTGGCCAAGAAAACTCCAGAAGCCTCTGCCACAGATGGCCACATCACTGTCCCTCCCCTCCCCTCACCCCACTGCTCTTGAACGATTTGGGGATGCCAACGGTGGGCTTTCTGACATGGGCACAGAAATGTCACTGGGAAATGGTGAGCACGGATGGGCTGACGCTAAGGGAGGCATCCAATTCAGAAAAAAAAATCCTCACTCAAGTATAAACATAAAACAGCTCAGAAATGGAGCAAAAACACCTGAATACGAGCTCCACTGAGGACACATCACATGAGTCTGTTACGAAGACATGGCGTGAAAGCCGCAATTCGACCCCTTTGCCTTGGCCTTCGTCTTGGTCATGAGCTTAGGGCCTCGAGCTCTGAGGAGGTATGT